TGTGTGTGCGAAGGAAGTGAAAAGGAAATTGCAGTGCCAGGTGACAAGGGGAATCACCTGGGCTTTGCGATCAAAAAAGGGACATAGCACGAAGAGAACACCAGAAGAGTGAAATTCTTTAATTAAAATTGCATTTCCTATAAACAATTGTGACATAACGAGGAACTTCTGCACTGTACAGAGGAGCCACCACAGCATCGCACAACTCATTAGTTCCCAGTATTAAATTCTTTCGTTTATAAATTGCACACAGGTAGGTAGTTGTTTCTGGCTAAAATACCAAGCCGTAGTAGTCGAGTTCTCAAGTCATCAGATTTACCGACGGACAGGTGAGTAGCAGGCAGGTGTGTGTGTGTCTGTATGAGTGTGGCATGTGCAATGTTCTGGCTTTATAAGGTTGAAAAATTGCAACCGGAATGGGATCTATGTATCTCAGCCCCGCCTCTTTCTTCACTTCCCCTATATTTCTACATTTATCTCCATTAGTAGTGCAGCAAAGACACGAATAAAGAATTGCACACAAAGATAAGAGCAGAAGTGAAGAGCCAAGCAAGAAGAACCAGCAGAGAATTAAGAATAAATGATTACAAAGTATCTACAAAAATGAATCTTAAAGATCGTATCATCTAGAACCTATAAAATTATTTAAAAATTGCTCTAACTTCCTTAAGTACAATGCCCTTAACAATAATTTGATGAGGCCCAAACGAGGGAAGAAAAAGAACAATGAAATCCCAAGAAAGTTTGTGAATAAAAACGAAAAGTTTTGGCCAAAAATCTATACTATAGAAAATTGTATAAGGGAAAACCCATAAAAACCCCAAACAAGGCCAAGAAAAATTATTGATTAATCTAACAAGAAAATATCATCAAATAAAATTGAATGGTTAAAGTTTCGCCTAGTTTACTTTTATTCGAGGCTAAACTTTCGATTTAAACATGTAAGAGCTCTTTTAGAGCCACTTAGCCATAACTTTCATTTTCCTATTTAATTGGCAACTATTAAAAGTTATAGAGTTCTTTAAATAAACGCCGAATAAAATGACAGATGAGTATAGATGACAAACGCTTTTGGATGAATGAGTCATCTCGCTTAGTAATATTGTTTAATAGATGGAAAAACAAAGAAAAGGAAAAGCGTTTCAGTAACTCAAATATGGAAAACCTCTGGCTAATAAATCACTATCTATTGGTAACCAAACATGGTTAACTAATTAGCAGTGAGGTCGGGGGACAGCTTATCGATTCCTCACTTATCGAACAAATTGAAGGCCAACGAAAGGACACACTGATTAATAGCTTATTCCCAACCAAATTGATTACAATATTTATCTAAAATAATTTCCCTTTTTCTTCTCATAACCCATAGACTACACCCAAAAACCTAAGTTTATTGAATTAATTGTTGCAAGCCAAGAAAATTAACCTATTACTCACCGCTGCATTCCGGTTGGCAGCTGCAACAGCGGAGCTGTTCATATATTGATTCTGTGGCGGCATCATTGCGGCGCCCATGGGCACGGTGGTCTGGCCACCCATGTAGACATAGTCCTGGGGTCCTCCGGCTCCCGGTGGACCCAATGGCGGTGGCTTGGGCATTCCTCCGTTCATTCCCGGATGCATGGCTCCACCATGATGGTCGTACATACTGCCGCCCGATTGGGCATAAGATGACATATGACCCAAGGCAGCGGCATGGTTGAGCAAATTCGAATTGTATTGCCCGGGATGTTGCTGCTGCTGTTGTTGTTGTTGCTGCTGCTGGCCAGGATGTTGGATGCCCAATCCGTTGCCATTGCCCAGTCCATTGCCACCGCCCATTAGATGATGTGGATGCCCTTGATTTTGAGCCTGCTGCTGCTGTTGTTGCTGCTGCTGCTGCTGTGGATGTTGCTGGTGTTGATGCTGATGTTGCTGCTGCTGTTGTGCTGCAACTGCGGCTGCTGCCTGTGACATCATGTGATTGTGTTTGGCTACCGCCGCTGCCTGTTGCATGGCTGCCATATTTGCAGCTGCTGCGGCCATCGATGGATGATGAAGACCGCCATTCGTTCCAGAGCCACCATTATTTCCGCCACCAGCTCCGCCACCTCCTCCACCACCGCCCATGCTGCCCAATCCGCTGCCCATGCCAATGGTTCCAATGGCACCTGGGCCACCGTTATTACCATTGCCCGGCGGTCCGCCAGGAGCTGCATTTGCTGGATTCATCGGCGGATTGTACTTCCATTTGTCGGGGTTCTGTAATGGGAAAATAAAATAAACCAAAGGTTAAAGCTAAAAACTAACATTTAAATTAACAATTTGCCTCTTGCTTAGTTTTGCATAAATTTATTTAGTTTTTAGTATATTTAAAAGGATTATAAAACTGAAATTTCCGAATCAACAAATAAATGTGCTTTGCAAATAAAGTTTTTAGACAAAAATAAAATCAATTTTCTTAATCTCCTTTCTTAGCCTTTGCCATTCTATTGCCACCATTTCATTGGCTGCTGCCTCAATGCCAAATTGTGATAATCTGTTTATGCAACCATTTTTGGCAGACGCCGACCTTAGCAGCTTATACAATCTACCGAGGTCAATGGAGGCAGAATGAAACCCTACACCACCAACCCCTCAAAATGGAGAAGCCACAAAATCTAATCAAGAAAACAGCAAAGCAAAAAATTATCAAATTTTGCAATAAAAAATATATAAATATTAAATAATGGAAAATAAAGGAGAAAGTAAAAGATTTCAATCTGATGATGGTCGAGAAACATGAAATCGATGCTAATTGCATCAAAGAAAGAAAATGATTTTTAAGCTTTTAAAAAGTTAAATTTATTATTATTTAAAAGCATTTTTTTGGAAATAAAATAAAGTCAAAATCAAATAACATTTCTCGAAATTATATTTTAGAAAAAACCTGAAGACACTCATAAATATATTTAATAAAAAATGGTGCCTCTTTTTTAGTTAAGACTTGACTAACCCCTTAACCTCATCACTATAATATTCCCTAAAGAACAGCTTTTTCTTAATCTTCAATACTTACATCAATCCCATGGCCGTCGTCGCCGCACGCCCATCGCGTCTGCTGTTGCTTCTGGGCAAAATGAGCGGCATACTCGGCGGCAGCAGCCTCATGCAAGGTCGAACCCACTGCACCGACCCCTGGCACACCGCCACCCACTCCGCCCACGCCAACACCACCGGGCGATGGACGTTGCTGGAAGACATAGCCGACGGCGGCGGCTGCAGCGGCACCAGCTGCATCGGCGGCATCCTGGGAAACGCCACCGCGAGATCCTACCACATGGGCATCCGTGCCAACGCCGACGCCACCGCGTCCATTGCGATCATCGTTACCACCCAAAAACTTCATGTGTTGCTGGTGTTGCGGCTGTTGTTGGTGTTGCTGCTGCTGTTGGTGTTGGTGTTGCTGGTGTAGCTGTTGAAAGTAGGGGGGTGGTGGACCGTAATGTTGCTGCTGCTGCTGTTGATGTTGCTGATAAAGTTGCTGCTGCTGCTGCTGGTGTTGCTGCTGCTGTTGATGTTGCTGCTGCGGCGAGGGCGTCGATATGGCAATTGTGGGCGCGGTTAGGAGCTCAATTTTGGAGGCTTTTCCTAGCTATCGCAGCTGACAAATTTGCGCGTATTGCCAACTTTTTTACGTTTACCACACACGCGATTCGTTTCGAAATATTCACTAAATGTTTCTTATATTCTCTTAGCTTTTTTTTTTGTAATTTTCTTTCAAGATTTACACTTGTTTTTTGTTGTAAAAGAAACCACACTTTTTGCTTATTATATTTAACATTTATTTTACAGGCTTTGCTGAGATTTTTCATACACTTTTTGCTCAAAAAAAAATGAATTTTCTTCGTTTGGTTTGGGTTGTCGTGGTTGGTTTGGTTTTTTTTTTACATAAATTTACACAAAATTATGAATAATATTTTACACAGTTGCACAGCTGTTTTATTTTTTTATTTTTGGGACTTAACAAAACTGAACTTTATCTATTTAATTACGTATGAGAATTGGTTAAAACTTGAATTTTTTACAGATTGATCTTTGAGAATTGTGGAATTTCCGTTTATTAATGTAGTTTATTAATTATAATTAGGATGAATTTTAATTTACACGACGTTTTAATGATGAAAATATACACAAACTGTAATGAGAAATAAAAGTGAAGAAGGTGATTAGTAAAGTTGGAAGGCCTTTTACAACAACAATCGAAAAACCTATAGAAAATTTTCATTCTTTTACTAATAGAACCTTTGGTTTAACTTTTAAAAGAATTTACACTTTGATTTACACTCGAACCACTGTACTTTTGTGCGATTAAAAACTTTGAGCTGGTCATGGTAAAGAAAAGATTCCGATAACACACAGACGGCAGACAGGGCGCATAATAATAATCAACAAAATAAAGCGCACAAAAGGGGCGAATAAAAGCAAAACAAATTCTTCTTCTAAAACTGAAAGACGACGAGTAAGACAAATACTAGCCATGATTTCCTCATTACGGAAAACAATAACAAAGTCGATGCCAAGGGGGGGCGTTGAGGAACAGGAGCCCCAAGAACAAGACCAAGAAGAAGACTATCCATAGAAGAACAACGCAAAGCTGAATCATGCGCGAAAAATACGGAAAATGAAATTAGCTTTCTATCAAGACCGAAAGCTAATATACACTTCTAATTAAGTACTCTTGCACTAAGAAATAATAAAAATTATTAAAAGTAAGATTTGGTTTAAGAATTTGAAAATATAGTATATTTTTACTTTAAAATAATATTTAGGTTATAAAGGATAAACTCTTATCTAACTGTAAGTGCTTTTTCAATCCCAACTAAAAGTTGACACACGATAAGAATGGGTTTTATGTTGCAGTTTTAAGAATTTATCGCGTAGAGAACGTAAATTAAACTTTAGTTTTTAACAATAAAGAAATGAATAAACTCATTTTTATAAACGAAAATTGGTTAACCCCATTTAAATTATCTAACTTATTATTTAACTTGGTTAGTAAGTGCTTTCACTATAAGATATTTTCAGAAAAAAGAAAAATAATATTTTCACTATAGTTATGTAGTTAATCATTCGGTTTAAAAACCTGAAAAATATATCTGGCAAACTTCTGGACAGAATTATAGCGCCTCCCGCGAAGGGAAACGAAAAGCGCAAAGACAGGCGAAAAGCGGTAGGGTGGTGGGGCGTGTGACGAGTAGGAGGGGCGGTTGAAAATGGAAAACACATAAAATTAACATACACACAGAGGAGCAAGAACAAGAACAACAGCAACAACAACGATGCCGGCAGACGATGAGCGAATGCGACAGAACGAATGGCGAAGAAAACGAAAAGAAGACGAAGGCGAAAGGCGGCCGCAAACATTTGAGGTTACGTTTTCAGCGAGAAGAATGCGAGTGGGTCGGTTTTTATTATTTTTTTTTTTTTGGTTGTTTACGAGAATCTTCATCTCTCCTTTACTCCCTTTTTTCGCTCCCCACAAAACGCCTCTCTTCGCGGAGAGACAAGTGCAGCATGCGAAAAGGGATAGAGAGACAGAGAGAGAGCGAACGCTGGGCCCCTGGAAACACGCACACACCCACACGCACGCTCGGGAATATAAAAACAAACATAAAGATAAACCATAAAAGAGATGGCTGACAAAACAAAGGAGGCGCGGCCAATAAATAGTTAAAAATTAAACGCATTGAATTGTTTAATATTTTAGTTGGCACTTAGGCATTCTTATTGGGAAAAGCACGTATATACAAATGCAAGGCGTCCCGTGAGAGAAAGAGAGAGCACGCACTCACACACACTCATATATATTGAAGAGGAAGGAAGCGGGGGAGCCGGGGAGAAGGAAGAAGCAGAGCAGCCAAATGGCCGCCGCTCAAAAGGAAGAACACGATGGAATAAGGAAATAATGAAGCACACACACGCACAATCGGAAAAATTTGTTCACCAACAAAAAAATCAGGAATCATCACCATGTCAATTATTCGGCACACACGTTTAATTGATTTTTACCTTTTTCGGTCAAAATACTAAGAAAATTCGCAAACTATTTATACATGTTTTCATATATGTATGTACATACATATATACAAAAAGCGGTCTGGAAATACACACATACACATGCCGCTGTAGTCGAAAAGGAAACCCGCTGATGACAATGTAAAACGAAACAGGAGTACTTTACGGTTTTTTAGTTTTTTTTTTTATCCAAGCACTTACACATGCACTTAAAAAAGCCTTCGCATCTGCATTTCCTCTGATGGTATGTGTGTGTGCTTTCGTAAATACGAAATTTAGATTATTTAAATTACAATTATTTACACAGGATGATGAAGAAGAAATCGGCCAGGAATTTCTTCAACGTCGCCGCCGTCCGTCGCAGAACGATAATAAAAGCGAAATGCAAAGACACACTGGCCAAATACAACTACAACAAGGAGTGTGCGAGAGAGGAGAGAACAAGAACCCCAAAAAGAGAGCAGTGTTGGCAAACGTGCGAAATCAACAGAGAGAACGAGTGAGCATGCTCAAAGAGAACGACAGACGAGAATGAGAGCGGGGGTGTTAGCTCAAAAGACCGACAAATTTATTTTACTTTATTAACATGCGCGCAAAATATTTATATAAATTGATTACACATTTTCTTCTTCTTATTTTTATCACCCCCTTTTTCTGTTCACCCTGGCAAATGAATTACGCTGCGCCAGCCAAATTGTTTATATATTATTTATCAATCGATTTTAGGGGCATGCCAAATTTGATTAGACGCCAGACGCACACAGTCACACATTAGCACGCACACAGCCGAAGACTCGCGCATACATACACACACACCAGAGTGTTTGTTTTGTTTTTGTTTGCGGCTTTTTTTTTATCAATTTCAGATTTTTTGCAGCTGCAAAATGGATTCTTATTTACTGCCGATTAGAAATGTAAGCACAGGATTCAAATTATCACTAAATGACACTGGTATTAGTACACTATGTATGTTATATCGCTTTTTGGCGCACACACCTTAGCTTATTTGAAAAATTTACATATTACAAGCACGCCGTTCTAGGTCTGCTTCTTCTTACGCGCGAACATTTAGTGTGACCGCAAGGCGAGTATTTAAATATACCATTTCAAAAGGTACTAAAACAAACTTTGTAGTTGTACGAAAATACCAAAATATACTATGACTAATAAGAATTCCGTTACAAACTACCCCTTTGAAAAATGTTAATGTATTTTCGAAGGTATCCAAATACTTAGTAAACTTAGTAATTGTAAACAACTATTAAAACATTATCCAAAAATTAACCAATTATAAGGAAATTGTAAAAACAAATATCCAAACAATTTATTTAAATATTCAAATGTGTTGAAAAATTGTTACATATTATCAAGTATGTAGTGTGACCGCATTCACATATAAATTAAAATATTCTATGAAAAAAGTCAAATTTCTTAATACAATCTCGAAAGTCCATTGAGCCCTCTCCTAAGTTTTCCTTTTGTACTTTGTGGTCTTGTGTGTTCTTCTTTTAGAGGCTCAATATTAATTTTTTTGTTTGTTGATTTGTTTGGAAATGTTTACAAATTTTTTAGGCCGTTACCGATTTGGAATCGTTGTAGGCATCCGAAACATAATCGTCATTCCCATCATTATCGTCATCGGAATTCCATTTGAGGCCTTCTCCTTTGGTCGGTGTTCAATCTTGTCGACGTTCTTCATCGTTCGTCTCCCTTTTGAAGTTGTGGTCACCCTGGTCATAGGAATCCCCATCATCTTCGTCATCATTGGTGACCTTTCCTGGGCGACCACGGGGCTTCTTATTGGCCAACTTGCTGGCAAGACAGCGAGGCCCCCGTTTCTTCGGCATAACTGCCGTCTTCTCCGGCAAGCTGTTCACCTCCTCCTTGGGCACTGGGTGGTGCTCATCATCACCAGAGGCCTGTGGCCGCTCCTTCTTCAGTCTTTCATGGCCGTGTTCAGTAAGCGCTATGTTTAGGTTGACAGCTCCAGTTTCCGCCCGTCCTACAGGGCGACGATCTTCGATGCTGCTGCCGTCGTCGTCGTTGTTCTGATCATCTGTGGGGAAAGGGTGAAAGGTAAATTACAGTATAATTTGCTTAGCTGCCTCGAGTACTTTGCACGCAACTTCGATGCAGCTATTTTAATTTTAATTTTTAAACAAAAAAAAAGTTTACCTATAGCTCAAATAAAGTACATATACATTTTGTATCTTTTTTAGCCAAATTATATTTTCATTTCAATGTCTAAACTATTGTTAAGAAAATATTAATTGATTAATTCTTAAAATAGTCTGTTATTTTTCTTTTTTTATGTCTGTTGCGTTGATATTGTGATCAAATAATTTGTTTTCCAAAGAATTCAGTGTTGGCAAAAATTCGTCCCATTTGTGAATCATGCAAATGCTTTTAAGAATCTTCACCGCACAAAAACCTTCCTGGATAGTGGGGCGGCTTATATCACCGCTATCCTCGTCACTTTCGCTTTCACTGCTGCTTGTCTTGTCATCTTCAAGAACAGACCGCACAATTTCATCTTCGGTTAACTGACCGTGGCAAGCAACATCTGCGTCGACATTGGCATATTCTTCCCAATTAATTTGAGCATCAAATACGGTCTCCACGAGTTGCGGTTCATCAGTAACGCTTTTGATGACATCAAAGCATATATTAAATCCCGCCTGAAAAGATACATTTGTAAGTTGAGGTGAATGGGACTTATATGCCTTACCTTCTTGAAGCAGTTCTGAATAGTTGTAGTTTTAACTTTCGCCCATCCTTGAGTTATGAAGTGAACAACATCCAGCATAGATAGTGTTTTTAAAAATTCAATTGTGGTTTTTCCACAATTTACAGCAATCAATTGTTCTTTGACCAAAATACGTCTATACTCCAGTTTGAATGAGTGAATAATGCCTTGTTCAAGCGGTTGCAGTACAGCCGTTGTATTTGCTGGCAAAAAGCAAAACTTAATGTGATCACATCCTTTTACGGCAGAATGACTTGTTGCATTATCGATAAAGAGCAATATCTTTCGATTTTGCATTTTCATTTCTGCATTAACTTGTGTGATTATTTGTCGAAAAGTCTCGCTAGTCATCCATGCTTTTTTATTGGCATAATACGGCAGTGGCAAATTGACATTTTTAAAACATCGAGGGGATTTTGACCTGCCGATTAGAAATGCTTTTTTATAACTTCCAGTCGCATTGCAGATAAACAAAATTGTTATTCTAATTTTTTGCGATTTATTGCCACTTCTCTGGTTTCCACAAGTGTAAAATGTTGCAGTTGGCATTGCTTTATAAAATAGGCCAGTTTCGTCAGCGTTAAAAATGTTCTCCGGATTGTAGCCTTTAATTAATCCAGGTAAAATGTCTTGTTGATATTCATTCGCAGCAATTTCACCATGAATTTTCCCAGATTTTATGTTGTGACGCTTACGCCAGCGCCAAAGCCAGTTGGCATCAGGTTCATAGTCGTCGTTGAACCTTTGACAAAACTCTTTTGCCTTAGCTAAAATTACATGCCGATCAAGAATTACGTTGTTTGTTTCCTGTTGCTCAAACCATTTGTACAACGCCTCTTCCACTAAGTCATGTTCGCCTTTTCGTTGGCGCTTTCGCTTTAGATCAGACCCGGCTGCAGTCTTTTCAATTTCGGCTTGTTGTTTAATGATTCGATTTATTGTAGACCTATCGCATTTGTATTTAGCACTTAGTTTCTTTTTGTCGACTTTGTCTTTAACAGCTGCTATAATTTGCAGCTTTTCTTTGATTGTTAAACCAGTTACGCGTTTTGATTTTAACATCTTCTTAAATTTGTACTTAAGTACAGAAGGCTGCTAAGTTGGGTGCACCAAACGTAATTATTTTCATACTAAAGTGACCGTGATGCAGAAAAATGAAAATATCAGGCAGCTATCTTGACGATGCAGCTAAGTATCGAGGCAGCTAAGCAAATTATAAATTATACTTATACTTATTTTAAAATAAATACATAAATTAGTCCCAGAATTACAATTATTAGTTCTTAATGCATTTGCTGATAAAACTTGGCAACGCATTGGATGGTCATGAACCAACTGAATCTTACATTGCCTTAGACGGAGGTCTTTGGTTAAAATCCGTTGCAGGGAGGTACGCGAAATGTTCAACTCTTGTGCACGGTGCCGAGTAGACGTCGACGGATTGTCAATTAAACTTTCGGCCACCGCAACGATATTTTCGACCGACCGAACTGGACAAGCACGTAAACGTGTTGTTTTATCCATCAACGATCCAGTCTCACGCACACGCTTCACAAAACTATCCACAAACTGCCTGGAAGGCGCTTTATTTTTTCCGAATTTTGACCGCAGTTTTCTTGCAGTTTCGGTTGAAGACTCTCCACTTTGAAAGAACGTTTTCAATATTTCCCATTTTTCTTCGAGCGTAAACTTAACCATTTCGTAAACCGCAAACCTTCTACTAAATATCTGATAAATTGACAATGTCATTCAAAATGTCAAAGTCAAAATTATCGATAGTTCAAAAAGCAAACGCTACATGGGCCACCCTGTAGCGATGTATTTGGCATGCCAAAATTGATTAGACTCCAGACGCTCGCAGTCACACATTCGCACTCACACAGCCGAAGACTCGCGCATACATACACCAGACCAGGGTGTTTGTTTGGTTTTTGTTTGCGGCTTTTGTTTTTTATCAGATTTTTTACAGCTGCAAATTGGAATCTTATTTTTTTCGATTAGCAATGTAAGCACAGGATTCAAATTATCACTAAATGACATTAGTTTTAGGTCGCTATGAATGTTATATCGCTGTTTGGCGCACATACCTTAGCTTATTTGAAAAATTTACATATTACAAGCACGCCATTCTATGTCTGCTTCATCTTACGCGCGAACATTTAGTGTGACCGCAAGGCGAGTATTTAAATATACAATTTTGAAAGGTAAAAATACTTTGTTTAATAAGAATTCCGTTATAAACTACCCCTTTCAAAAATGTAAATGTATTTTCGAAGGTATCCAAATAAGTTGTACACTTAATAATTGTATACAACTATTAAAACACTATCCAAAAAATAAACCAATTACTAAGAAATTGAAAAACAATTTATTTAAATATTGAAATGAGTTGAAAAATTGTTACGTGTTATCAAGTATATAGTGTGACCGCATTCACATATAAATTAAAATATTCTACAGTAAATACTGATTATAAAAATTAAAGTAAAAGTAGTAATTTATTCAAATTAAAATTTTATTGACCTATTCATGAAATCTTTGCAACTGATTGTTATTTAAATTTTCCCTGTAAACAAAGAAAAATCTAAAAAAAAATCAAATTTCTTAATACAATACAATTGAAATCAAAATGAATTAAAATAAGGACTTGGAACCTTTCCCAGTTAGAATCATTTCGAACTTTTCTAATACATATATGTTATTTATTTGAAAGTTTCAAATTAGAAATCTTTTTCCGAGTTACACATCAAATACAGTGGAGTGCAGTAAACGGTTTTCCGTTATCTCAGCAATAAATCGAAATATGTATATAGTTAAATGTTTGTTGTTTTTGTTGTCTGAGGAGGGGAAGTTTCTCGAAAGTCCAGTGGGCCCTCTCCTAAGTTTTCCTTTTGTGTTTTTGTATTTTGTGGTCTTAAATAAAGATAATGAGTTTTCTTTCACGTTTTTTTTTGTATCTTTTTGTGGCTCAATATTAATTTTTTTGTTTGTTGATTTTGAGGGGAGGTGGATGGGGTAGGGTGGTGTGTGATTGTTTGTTTGGAAATGTTTATAAATTTTTAGGCAGCTACCGATTCGGAATCGTTGTAGGCATCCGAAACATAATCGTCATTGCCATCATTATCGCCATCGGAATTCCATTTGAGGCCATCTCCTTTGGTTGGTGTTCCATCCGTACGTCGTCCTTCATCGTTCGTCTCCCTCTTGGAGTTGTGCTCATCCTGGTCATCGGAATCCCCATCATCTTCGTCATCATTGGTGACCTTTCCTGGGCGACCACGGGGCTTCTCATTGGCCGATTTGCCGGCAAGAGAAGGACGTCCCCGTTTCTTCGGCGTAACTGCCGTTTTCTCCGGCGAGCTGGGCACCTCCTCAACGGAGTTATCATCATCATCCTGATCATCTCCATTATCCTCAGCCACCTGCTTCTCGACTGCAGAACCGGAATTAGACTTTGGACGACCGCGCGGACGACCGGTGGGTACATAAGCGGTATTTCCGCCACCCGCCTTGTTCTGTGGCGGACGACCACGTTTCTTGGGCACTGGTGGATCACCATCTCCATTCCACTCGGCAGCCTGTGGCCGGACCTTCTTCGGCCTTCCCTGGCCGCGTCCCGTACGCGATATGTTCAGGTTGACGGCTCCAGTTGCCGGCCGACCAACAGGGCGACGATCTTCGATGCTGCTGGCGTCGTCGTCGTTATTCTGATCATCTGTGGGGAAAGGGCGAAAGGTAAATTATTTTAAAAATATAAACGGATGACTAAATACATAAATTAGTCCCAGAAGTACAATTATTAGTTCTTAATGCATTTGCTGATAAAACTTGGCAACTAATTTTTTTTTATTGCATGTAGTCGAGTTGCTTGCATAACGTCTGATCAAAGTTGAACAGTTTAAGTCGGGATTCGAACAGTGAAAATAGTTATCACAATAAAATACTGACTAATTTTTAATAAAAAAAATAAAGAAATACATGTTAATAACATATTACATATCTAACCTTGAAATTGATTTTATCTTTCCTTTCTATCTCTGAACAATCTTTTCTAATGAAAAGGTCTACGCAAATTCCTTAATACTAACCTTCTAGAAATAGACACTACCTGCCTAAAATCTCCAGGTAGATTCGTTAGGTCTAAGGCAAGAGGATGCATAAATCAAAGAGGGCTAATATTAGGCATTGTTTGACAAGAGCTGGAAATTTTTCCAATAACACATGGGAGGGATGTCCTTTAAAAGAATTTGTTTCGTGCACAAAAATCAAACAAATTTACAAGATTACAAAAGTAAACAAATGTAGAAGCATGTAAATAAAATGTAAATATGAGCATATTTTTACTTATGATGTACATACTGTACATACTTTCTACATTTCATATTTTAGTAAAAATGGCGGAAATGCGTTACTGAAATGCGTTACTGAAGAAAAAAGTATGCCTCCTTTGCTCTTTGCATACTAAAAGCTAATTTTACCTAATGAAGGAACCTTTTCTGTTCTTTAATATGTGTATATCATGAATTTCAATCCTATATATCAAACAAGGGCTTTAGTTACCTTCATCCTCGCTATCGCTGGGCTGGTGCTTTTTGGGCCTGCCTGCCTTTCGCTTTTTGGCGGAACCGGGAGTCTTGACTGCATCACTGCCGCTTCCACCGCCACCGCTGCTACGGGGGCGACCCCTGCCCTTCGTTGGCGAAGATAATGAGTTGTTAACCTGCTCGTCGCCAGAGCCGGCATCACCATCGATCTCCTCCTCCTCATCCTCATCGGCATCTTCATCGTTTTGGATTTTGGACACCTTGGGCGGACGACCACGCTGACCAGTGCCGCCGCCACTGCTAACATTTAAACTCTTATTCTTGGAGGGACGACCGCGCTTTTTGGCACCCGGCGATGCAACCGCTGCTGAGGATCCTCCACCGCCACCTGCCTTTGGCGGTCGGCCGCGTTTCTTTATAGCAACTTCCTCCATTTCTGGCCGGGGTTCAATTTGAAAATCGAAAAAAGAATGAAAATCCTTCTTTCCTTTTCCAAATCTTTTCTTTTCTGCGCCTTTTTTAAGCGGCGTCCCTTCGTACACACACTATTGCAAGAAAATACACAAAGTCGCAAACGCACACAGACGATGCTTACAGAAACGCGCTCTCTTTTGCACGCTCACAAACACATACCCACTCTCACTTATTTTCGCTTGCTTCCTCTCTTCTTCTTGGCTTTTTGTTTGCCGAAAATTGAGCTGTAAAAATATGAAGAAAAACAATTTAAAATGCTTGCTTAAAACGCCGGAAAATGCTAAAGAAAATTTATTAAAAAATTCCAGGAAAATTGTAATTTTTACAGAGCCGAAAATGGTTCACTAGCGTCACTTACTTGCTTGGAAAATTTTTAATTGTAAAATACGCGCAAGGTAGTACAGTTTAGGTGCTAACAGTGTGACCGCGTAAACATCAATAAATGTACAGTCGGGCTCTCGTAAAAATACTAATCATTACATTGACTTTCCAACACTTTTTTTTCCGTTAAAATTTGATTTTTACTGGATTTTATTTCGTAATAAAAACACACAAAAAATTAAGGAAAATAAAAACAACAAGAAACGGCTTGTTAAGGTTTTGAAAATACAAAAGAAATGATTACTTTCTTGAACCAAAATAGTCAATGTTTTGTTTTACGAAAGAATTCAGATTTTACAAGCTGAAATAAGTTAAACTCATGACCTACTATATGAAAACGAAAAATGTAATTGTTTATTCAAGAATTTTTATATTTATCTAATATTTAAGAATAAGTTTAATATTATAGAATATTTCCTGATGATCAAAAAGAACAGAATAGATGCGAAAAAGATACGATGTTGAAAGAAGACCAAAAATTAAAATAATTTGAATGTTAGTTAAATAACTTTTTATGTAAAAAACGATAGCCCACAGTTAACAAGCAACTGTTTATTTAATAGTTACACATATTGCAGTTTATTAGGCTAATCACAGTTGAATATTTAAATACTATATATATATCGGGTGGCTCACTTCCACAGCTTAATGACACCGTCTCGCGATGCCGAGGCTATGTAGATCTGACCCTTGTCCTTACACATCAGCAAATCCGTGATGGCATCATGGTGACTGGCCGTGGGCATGTCCGGTCCAGAGCGTGGATTCTCCTCCGTGGAGGAGCGTAGCTGTGTCGAATCGCCAGTACTGGCCATGGAAATGATTTGCTCCTCGATTACCTGGCTGCCATCGATTAAACGAGTACTAAAAAACAAAATATTTAAATTATGGTTTACCATAATAACATTTTTTATAAATATAAAATAACACTTACCTATAGTTAAAAGCTACATCGGCCAGATTATCATTGGCAGCTGGAACTTTGAGCAAGGAATTTTTGGGATTGGCTATATCCCAATACCGAATCCGTTGATCTGAGCTGCCTGTGAGAATGAAGGGTGAACCATCGACTACGCCACTTAGAATGCCACACGTGGTGGCCGGATCACTGGGACTGGCACTGGATAAGGCCGCGATCGGACTTGCCCACAAGACCGTCTGCCGCTGTCCCGTTTCGATATTCCATACGGACACCTCGTTGTTCGACTGCGAGGCTGAGATCAGATACGAAGGCTCCGTTGGATGACAGGCCACCTTGCGTATCCACGAATCAGCTGGATGCTTGATTTCAGCTATGGGCAGACGGAAGCGTAGATCCCAGCAGATGTGTTTACCACCACTAGTGCCGGTGGCTAACCAAGAACCAGTTGGATCCGCACAAATTGTGGTGATCACTCCATGACGAAGTTCATTCTGCAGTCGCCAGGCACTGTGCTGCATTCGTGTGTCCCAGGCCACGATTCCGCCGTACAGCGTGGCGTATACGATGACACTCTGCGTGGCCTGGTCGTAAGCATGCATGTCCACAACAGGTCCATCCTTATGATCACTACGGTTAAAATGAAAATGGATAATAGAGGGTACTCTTAAAAAGGAATCAGTTTAAGCATCTTACTTCTGATTAAGCGCCTGCTGGAGCGTCATTTTGGCGGAGTTCCGATCGATCCTCATCATCAACATGCTGCCATCCTTTCCACCCACCGCCAGCGATTGTCCACTATCACAAGCGGCCAAGGCATATATCGGTGTATTGGCCGAGTAAGCCTGCCTCGATTTATTAACTCCTTGATTACCATTAAGCTTACTGCAATCCCATAATCGCACTGTGCCGTCTATACTGCCGCTGGCAAAGAGTGATCCGTGTGGCCGCAACGAAGCTAGTTTTATCACGGATTCCGAATGCTCATGCAAATGAGCCACCAGGGTACCATTCATCCGCCAGCCAGGTGGATAGGGCGTCACCAGCTTATCATAACTGCAGCGCTGCGAGATAGCCAGCACATTGAAGCGTCTCTTAATCTTCGTCGTCAGCGATTCGAGATCTTTGCGGCACTCCGAGGAGCGTTCCAGCCAGCAGTTTCTCTCCGGCATCGTGTATTCACCCAGTGATGTAGCTGCACTAACGGTGGCCGTTGGAACACTAAGGACTACTGCTCCAGAGGCAGGACTTCCAGCCAATCCACCACCTCCCAACGGCGTGATCGCTGCATCCGAGGCTGGTGATACCAGTGTGGGACCTTCGCTGGATCCTGAAAAACAAGTGATAGGAAGTTTTAGTTATAAAAATAATTATTTAGTTAGATTCTTATTTTATCTTTTAAGTAAGCATTTTTTTAATTTCAATATAAAATTTAAAATAATCAAAACTCGTAAGCTGAAAACTAAATATTTAATTTTATTATACAGGAAAACTTAATACATGATTTAATAAAAATCGGAACTTCTTAAAAATTAAATAACAAAGCAAAATAGTTAACAGAAAAGCGAAACGCTCAATCCTCATCGTATAAATTCCCAAAGTCCGGAACTAAAAACATCTGAGAAATTTATAAATGCGATTACTTTACAATTAAGAAACCGAGAAATTGAAATGAGTTTTAAGTAATTTAATGAACTTGTAAAAACAGATTTAATACGGTGAACATGAAACCCAGAACATAAATCATAGACTTACGGTTTTCCAATGGAACTTTTGTGGCCTTGTCCGCCAGCGGATATTCATGGCAAGCGACTTGCTTCCGACTGACCACGATGCGTCCATTCCCAGAGGCGGTATCATCTAGATCCTGCAAGGCCTTGTGTTTCATGGAGATCAGAAATGGGTTCATGGCTAGCAGCTGCATTTCAATAAGATCCGTTAATCCCTCAGAGCTTAGGCGCCTGAAAAGCTGTAAGTGAATGGCAAAATTAAACAAAATTCATATTAAAAAACAACCAAATCTACTCACATTCCTCAGAGTTTGTCCCATCTCTTCGTACTGTGGCGTAGCTCCTTGCCTGGTCAGACTTCGAACTCTCGACCTATCCTCCAGCGCTCTAAGAAAATGTTGAATATCCTGGAAGCGCAGCACGCTGTCAAAGATCTGTCGCGGCACAGGCGGATGTACACAGTCCAAAAGAATGTGCGGTTTCTCTACTTGGATAAGCGGGGCCTTGAGAAAAGCGCCAATTGCCGGCATAATCTTACACTGCACATCAATGGCACTGAGGTTACGAGCAGTGGTTGCAATCATGCCGCAGATTTCGTGACGAACCCAAAGATTTGGATGGCACAGGTAACAGGCTGTCTCTTGGACAATTTCCGTCACGGCTGGCTTCTTGATGTGTCCCAGTTCGATGAGAATTGTGACTGCACGTATGGCTTTTGCGATAACGAACTCCTCACGATCGGTGAAGCCTTGTTGCAGAAGTGGAACCAATATGTCCGACGCCTGCCAGCCCACGTAGCCAGCCACTCCGGCAATGTTATCATAGAAAGCTCCCCTCAAATTCTTGTCCTCGTCATTTAGGAAAGTCATTATGTGCGAGAGTATTACATCGTTGGCCTTTTCCTTGCCAAAGAAAGCACACAGATCGCAAATGCCAGACTCCATTAGAGTTTGCTTTACTATTGGTTGGGAATCCGTCAGCAGACTGAGAACCGCCTGTCTTACTATGTCATGAAGAGCATTCAATTCCGCTTCGTAACGTGGAGTGGGCATCTCATTAGGAGCATTCCGTTGTGTTTCCTCAAGGAAGTAGACAGCACTCTTAGCCAGAGCAGCAATATTCCGGGCAAAGGCCACGCGAACAATCACGGCACTCGATTCGCTGGCTAAGTCAGTGATGGAGGGGAGGATGTACTCCGGAAATACGTTGGCATCGCTGCGCGGAATGTCCTTAACCATGCCCAGGCAGGCGGTCAACGTTTCTATGGCCTGAACTTGCACCTTAGCTGGGGATTTTTGGGCCAAGTGGAGCTGAAGAAGATTTTTGACCATGTAAGAATTATATATGCAAATCTCTATAAAAAAGAGTACTTACAATATAGGGCAATATACGATCTAAAATGGTTTCAGAAGTTGTGTACTTCGATAGCTTCTGTAGGAGTTCCAGGGCGGCAATTTTGGTGTTTGACTGCTTAAGACCTCGAATGCAAGATGTAACTACCGTGATGATCAAAATAAGACCATCATGCTCCGGTGGTAGTCGCACACACAACGTCGGGTCCTTTTTTTCCTGTTGATCATCTCTATCATCCTCTTCTGGTGTTAAATCCTGAGCCTGTGTCAGCACCTTGATGCAATGTCCAATGTCCTTGTGCAGACACTGAATCTTATCATCTGGCGACATGATCGGCGTTGAGCTAAACATTTGCAAGTAGGACTGCAGGAAGGAGTAAAAATACTCAGGAAACAGCTGACCACGCTCCTGATCCAAGTAGTCCTCGGCGCTCTTTCGGTTCATCGAATGAATATCAATCATGGATGCCAACAGATTGCGCAACCTTTCGTTTTCGATTCCAGCCAAGTGTTTTTCTACCAAATCCCGCTCACCGCGTCTGTAAGCCAGCAGCTGGGACAGTTCAAAGGGTGCCGTTCCTTCTGTCCATAGTTCCAGCAATGCACAGCCGGCTGAAAATATGTCCATGGCTGGCAGTAAAGTATTTCCAGCATAACTAGGAGCCAGGCGAATAATGGAATCCGTATGGATGACCGACATATTGCCATTTCCGCCATCATCATCTGATGCCAAAGTTTTAACAAATCGCTCGGGCGCAATATAGCAGGTCCTTCTTCTACTAGTATCAAAGAAGTACGTGTAGTCTGCCGGATTGTCTTCCGGTAAATAAGTTGGCTTAAAGGAAGCAAAGTCCGAGAGTAAAATCCAATTCCAGGAAGTGATTAGGATATTCTCCAGCTTGATGTCACCGTGGCAAATCTTCTGTTTGTGGCACTGATTCAGAGCACACAGAATCTGAAATGTAATCCACTTTTTCTCCAAAACTGTGAGAAACGGGCGTGTCGACACGCGATCATAGAGACTGTGTTTCACATACTCCCGCATTATGTAGGCTGCCTTGTCAATGAGCTAAAAATAAGGAATTCTTAATGGATAATTCTTGACTTAAACAGGTAAAAACCTTTGTTAAAAGTTTTTTGAAATGCTTTACTCTATTATGAACATAATTATTATTTGATGACTCAAAACTAATCAAGATAACCCTCTTGACTTCACCAAAGAAGCCAATTATGTGGTCAAATTATGAATAAACTTTGTCTTACTAGATTTTTCCATTGTACTATAGATTTTTAATTACTTAGTTCAACAAAAATGAGTGATAAACAAACCTCCACCCGTTGAAAGGGTAAACAGTTGACGGCATTGGCCAGCGAAAGTGTCTTCTTGATGCCTTCCAGTCGTTCCTTGTGATCCTCCAATGGTAATGTGGGATCGTGCTTGACAAACACCTTGACCACTATTTGACCCTCATCCGTTTTCGCCTTGGCCACTTTAAAGAATCTCGTACTGCCCATACTGCGGAAAATACAAATTCGTGGGTGTCAACAACAATTTTCTTGGCGATTGCTCGATTTTTCACTCACTTGGAACTGAAGGTAATTTCGGATCCAAACTGGCCGGAAAAATAATGCTCCACCGCGTAAATCTGCGAAGGAGCAATGCCCACCAGTTGATTGCCCATCCTGTTCACAATTTCACTTGGTTGTGTCCGCAATTATGCTCAATTTTATTACTTTCTTTAACAATAACAAGAAAACTAAGTCTTCGTCTTTTTCTGCGCAGCCAAACAGCTGGTGGCGATAACCATTCGGTACTATCGATAATTACACTGTTAAATATATTTTAGTTTTTTCCATTTATCAGAAAAATATATTTAATATTTAAAAAAAAATTAACTCTTTTTTATATAGATAATAAAAACAAAGAGTTTTAGATAAGACATTTTTAGAAATATGGCACAATAACGCAAACAGTTATATTTAAACAAGAAACTATCGGCGTCGCGTAAAAATCGATTAGGGTACTTTAAATTAAATCGAGCCGCGCATTTTTGAATGCCGTAGTGAGTATAGATTACATCTTTATAGTTGAAGCGCTTTGATAAGTGAATGGAGTGTTTAAATAGTATGCAAATGCTTTTACATTTCCATAATTCCACTTGATATTCAACCTAAAATGTCAATTATGCTAATAACAGATTTATAGGCAAAGGTCAACTTGTTCTTGGATTTATATGAACGAAAAGAAAGTATAAGACTAGAAATTACTTCAGCTTGGCATGACGATCCCATTAAACTGATTATAAATTTATGTAACGGGCACACTGCAATCCATTTCTTGAATAAATTCGAAATGGGCCATGGCGAGAACCAAATCGAAACCCAGAAACTGTTCAGGTGACAAATGTGCCAAGCATTCAATTGGTTTGCTTAAAGAACTGGAAATGAAAATGGGATTTCTTAAAGGAAGTAAATATACCCTTTAACGAAGTTTCAAAATTATAAAGTTATATAGTAATCATTGAATAATAAATCTATAAATCTATACCGAATTTTAACAACATTAATATAACAAACATATGTATTAAATACTTTTCTAAATTAAGAGTAAGGTTTTAATATATTTTGAAATTTATATTTGTAAAGCATGTTTTATATTTCAGTTGGCCGACGGCTTAACAGGCATACCCAACGAAAGAAACCCATAACCCGTGTTTGATACTCGTATTTACATAAAAAGTCCAAGCAGGCGGCATTAACCAAAACGTTGGCTCCGAATCTGACTTCCAATGTCCACCAACCGCCATTCCAAGAAGAGAACTTTCAAAGCGGACGATCGTGTGTAAAAAGAAAGTAGGTGGGTAGGTAGGAAACATAAACAAAGTGCGAGCCATAGAACGGGGTACATGGGAAAAAAAAATTAAAAACCTTCATATTAACTTCTTTCAAATTGTTTTCGTTAGAAGCTGCTTTCTATAAGAAAAAGTAAGGAAACAGTAGAATTTATGAAATTTTCCAAAAATTATCATCTTCAAATGTGGAATGCAACTATTCTTATTTTAATATTTATTGTCTTAAAAATATAAAGTAACAAGAAGTAAAGTCTATTCATAAGATAGTCATAACGAGATATAATCTAAAAATATATTCAAATTTAGACCAACCTCAAAAACTAGAAATATTTTTTTCCCGTGGAAGGCAAAGCGGTTCCGCTGTCTCTCCTCCATCTCTTTTTGTCTCGTTTATTTCTGGAGACGGCAAACCTGACGTGTACAAAGCGCAGGCGTAAAGAATTCCGCGAGAGAGAGCGCAGCCATAGAAACAGGTGAGAGAGATGTAGCTGAAGAGATTCGAAAGAAAGGAGGATCGAGAGAGCCAACAGCGAACATGTTTGAAGGCCAAAAGAATCGTTGGCTTAAGAAGTGTTACAAACTGGCGAAGAGCCTCAGAAGAAAGAAAGTTTTCGGCTGTGCTGGCTGCTCTGCTCTGCGATCTCCGATCTTAGTTAATATCTCATAGCAGATATATATTTCTATATATATATATTTCAGTAGATATATTACCCATACCGTGTGCTCAGTGGAGCGTCTTCCGCGTTTTGTGGCTGCGTCGCTTAATTGGCCCAAAAGTATCTCAAGTGTGTGATTGTGAAAGTTCCTGAAGAATAATGTACGTGAGACGAGCTTTGCTCTTGGCTTGCTTGCTGTGCCTGCAGCCGCTGAGTCCTTCTTTGGCCAGCGAGGATGAGTCCAATCCGCTACTGGACATGGCCTCCATGTTCTTCCAAGAGGCGCTGTCCAACCAGAATGGTGGTAACAATGGCGGAGGCGGTGGAGGAGCTGGCTTGGCGGGTGTGGCTTCGCTAATTGGTACCTTCATGCAAGCCAGTGGCAAATCCGGCGGTGGAGCAGGCGGCGGCGGTGCTGGTGGTGCCATGCAAATCCTTTCTGGTTTGGGTAGCCTCCTGTCCAAGAGTGGCGGTCAGGGCGGCGGTGGCTTTGATCCCTCCATCATTGGCAATGTCCTGGAGATGTTCACCCAGGGTGATGATGAAGAAGCCACTCCAAATCAAAAACGCAGCAATGGCGGTGGTTCTGAATCTGGTATTGGCCTGGACACCATCCTCCAAGTGGCATCGGCATTCATGAACACCCAGGGCAACGATAAGGGCTCTCATCACCATCAGAAACGTTCTGTTGGTGGCGAAGAACCAGAAACGGAGAACGGACTGATGAACCTTCTGCCATTGGTCATGCAGGCGGTTAGCTCTTTCGCCGGTCCCGAGGGTCAGAGCACTCAGGAGAAGCACAAGAGCCACGCCTGGGTGCTGCCCCCATTCCTGGAGCACATCCATGTGCTGTGGGATCACTTCTCAAACTCCGAGCTGGCCGATGCTTTGTACGAGAAATCTGGTGTCAACAAGATTATGAAGGTGGATTTCTAAATAAGTTTGAAAAAGATATAGGGATATATAGTAATCTGTATGCAGATTTAGCTTAAAATGTCTTGATAAAGATTTTTTTAATATTTTACAATATCTAAAAACAAAAAAAATAAACACAGAATAGAAAAGAAAGAAAAATTCAATAAAAAAAAAACTAAAAACAAAGTCCAGTTCAGAAAAAGTACAACAAAATATTATTTCCTGAAAGTAATAAAACAATCTTTTGATATCATTAAATTCGATTTACAAATCCTCAGAAATATTGATCACTTATCCAAAGAAATAATCAAAGAATAAAACACAAAGATTCTTTATTTAAGTTTGCTAAATTATCTATTCATTATCCTTTTTATTATCCTAAAACTATAAACATTTCCAAAAATTTATAATACTAATTATTCTACCTATCTCCTCCTCCAGGGCTTCAAGGGCAACGATGGCAAACTGGACTACGACAAGCTGTTCGAATCGCTGAACAACCAATCCTTCCGCCGCCGCTGGATCAAGTCCGCAACACTCTACCTGGCCGACTGGGCTAGCTACCTGGCCAATCCCGATGTGTATCTCAAGTGAGTCTCATTCAATGGTCATACGTGGCGCGATCTTAAATGCGTTGGGATGGTTGACCAAAGCGTGTTAATTGCGGATCACGTTCTGCTCTGCAACGGTTCCAATGCATTTAGCACCTGGCTAGGTGATGATTCTTGGTCCAAGACCAAGAACCCAGTCCAAATCTGATTCCCAAGTCCAAAACAGCTGCTGCCAAAGCCTTGTGCTAACCAATTCCCGTTAGCGACAACCCGTTTGCGATCGAGCATGTTCGATGCGGCTACCTTTTGACCCACTTTTATTTGGTGCTGGACAAGAGATGGTGGTGGTATATATGCTTTTAGAACGTGCCTGCTAATCCAACTGGTCAACAGTCGCAAGTTCCAAGTCCAGGCTCTGATACAGTTATAGTTGATATGCAGAAGATACAGAAGTCAACGGCATCGTTAAAACAAACAAATAAACAAAGCGGGCCGAAAACCGGTTGCCACTTTCAGTCGAGGGAAAATTGCTTGAGAAGGCGAGGTACACTTGTCCGAAAAAGTGTTTCATATAAAAAATAATTGGTTATTGTAATGTAATTTGGTTATAGATGTTAACCCAAAGGATTACCTTTTTAAGCTAATCATTCCATACATCAATATACCACAGCTAAGTAGTAAATCGAAAAACGACATGAGCATTATAGGAGAACAAAGATAAACAACATGTCACGATGACCATTAAACCAATTTTTCTTAGTGTACACCTCGAATTCAGACATTTTTGCATGACTTCAAAGTAGGTCAGGCTTCTCAGACTTCTTGGTCTTCTATTTTTTGTTTTTTTTTTTTGTTGCTACATCATTAGACAGCAACAACATCGCACAACTTCCACTTTCTAGAGACCCTTTCACTCAACTCGGTTGCTGCGTCATTCAAACTCATCAATTGTCCGTTGTTTTTCTCGTCTATCTTTCTTTACAGGTACTTCCAGACGGCACAGATCATGTTTAACGGCCTGCTGAAGTCTCAAGGTTATCCCAAGCAAACCCACTTTGATCCCTCGCGTCCGGGAGAGACCATCTCGAATCTCTTGGATCATGTTGCCAAACATCATCTGAATGTTAAGATCGATTCCAGACAGTATGTTAAGCCGGCAGTGGGTTATGCCAAGGAGCTACTAAAACTCGGCCAGGCACGTGGATTATTGCAGTTCAATGCCACCGAGATCAGCGACAAGCTAACGGATACGCTCAACCTGGAGGTAAGCAGATTCTCTGATCTTGGGAACTGGGCTACTTTGGCAGTAATTGATGTTCTTTATCTGTAAATAGGAAATAGCTGAAGTGAAAAGAATAGCACTAATTAAATAGCAGTTATAGTTATGTGAAAGATGTGTAGGGAGAAGAGAGAAGCCATAACTGTTGTTACTTAGAAAAAAACTAGAACTTTAATTTAGTATCCAAAAGGAAAAGCCTATTCAAGATTTAAAAAACTTAATGCTTAGAATTTATTAAAAATTAAACCACAAATGTTTTGATTAATCAAAAACTAACAGTTCTAGTTTGTTTATCATCACTCCGACTTGACTTTACTTACATTAAGTGGTAATTAAAAGTAAACTTAGTTTGATCTTAAAGTTAACAAACTATAGTTCTGCATCCTGTACTAAAGACTTAACTTGAAGCAAATTAAATTAATTACGTTACTATTTTCTTTTCTATTCCATGGCTTACGCACTCGATCGAAACCAACAATGGACCAAATGACAAACAGGTTATTGAACCGGTGCTGAAAGTCCACCGCGCCTACAGATACATCTCGAAGTCGCCGCAATGCGATCGCTATGTGCTCTGCCAGCTGAATGCAGCCGCTCTTGATCAGCAGGAGAAACAGAAGCAACATGACCAATATCAGCAGCACCATCAGCCCAAACAGAATCGTCAGACAGCGACAACGGCGTCCGGCCTAATTGCCGGAGTTAGTCCGAAAATCGTTAAGATCGGCAGCATGGGTGCAGCGATCTTCATTAGCACGGAAACCGGTACGCCGTTCTGGACGCTGTTCGGTGTGATCAATGCGCCATACAATTGCGAGGTGAGTAACGGCCACAATGATGCACAGTAAGAAATTTTGAATTTTGTTAGGAAAATAGAAATAACAGGAAGAGATTTCAAAATGACTTACAAATTACCTAAAAGTATATGGCAACTTTTTGCAAGTTTTTATCACTCTGCCATGATGTCTTCCTATGTTCCTTTTTTTATTATTATTATTTTTATTACAATTTATTAAATTTATTTTTTTCTCTGTACCTCTTCTTGTCGCCGCTTTCTAACTGCTATTTCTGCAAATGCCCGCCAACAGGCCAAATACCCAGTCGATTGCAATGGTTTCCACGAGGGCGAGGCCAAGGTGACCACGGAATATATCCACAACGAGTTGTAGAATTCCAGGTGCAGATCGAGATTAAGAACCAGAGGAAATGGAAATGAAGGAGACGTAAGCTCATTAAGATGATTTAGCTGTAATTGAAATAAAGATTTCGTGTGTATATAGTATTACGGATTGAAATACATTTAAATTTAAACTAAATTGTGTTTAACTTTTCCTAACTTTGAATCTCAAAATTGAACCTCTTTTCAACATTCTAAACTATTGATAATGACATTGTAACAGGCACATAAAAACTATAGTCAATTGTCTAAGTCTGGCTAATGATAGTGCTTATCGTATACATTGCTTGATCTCTTAGGAGTCAACGAACCGCAAAAGAAAAGTCACCCAACTACAGTCGAACTTGCCTAAGTGAAATAATTTGATATATTAAGGTTAACCGACTTCAAATAGGTTAAAACTTGTACTTCTTTTTTTTATTTATTTATTTAATTTTCAAAGAAACTTTAACTTAAAAAATGTTAAATTAAAGAAAAAGGGTTTGAAACTTCACTTTAGTTTACATTTTCAAAGCCTCGACAAACCAGTTAATGTGAGATTGAAAACCTGCTAGCTAAATTTTCACAATTTTCATGTTCAATGGTTAGTTTGAAAGTGCATTTGGCTTGACTTTGACTTCAGTCTGCATCCGTTTGTTGGGCATAACAGTCGAGATAGTCATGCAGCTGATCTATCGCGAATTACAGGCGGATATTGTCCGGCGGACTAATGCCATCTTTCCGGCTCAAAATTGCTTTGTTGAAGTGCTACCCGACCATTTGATCATTCCCAGGAAATACGTAGAGCTTGGTGAATCCATTCGATCGCTAAAGGTTTTTCAAGACGATGTTTGGATGGTGTCCTATCCACGAACTGGTTCTACTTGGGCCCAGGAGATGGTCTGGCTGTTGGGTCATAAGTTGGATTACGTAGCCGCAGAACAGGATTTGCGATTGCGTTCTCCACTCATTGAGCTTTCCGCTTTGTTTAGTACCGATCATCACGAGACGGTGGCGTAAGTACTCGCTGAAATTAATAATTTTCCGAACTTTTACTTTGACTTAACATAATTGATAGTGAAAAGTTTGGAAATACCGTTGATCTGGTTCGCAATCTGCCACGCCCCCGTTTCGCTCGCTCCCATTTGTCGTGGCAACTGTTACCCGAGGAATTTGAGACGGTGAAACCCAGGATCGTTTACACAGCTCGAAATCCCAAGGATCTATGCGTCTCCTATTATCACTACTGCAAATTGCTACATGGAATTAATGGCGATTTTGAGCAGTTTGTGGACCTCTTTCTCGAGGGGCACACTCCGATGGGTTCCTATTGGAAGCACGTCCTGCCCTTTTGGAAACGAAAAGAAGAGGAAAATGTGCTGTTCATCAAGTACGAGGATATGATCAAAGATCTGCCAAGTGTTGTACGCCAATGTGCCGAATTCTTGGGCGTCCAGAGTCTCCTAGATGTGTCCAGTTTGCAGAAACTTTGCGATCATCTTACATTCGACAAAATGAGAGCAAACAAGGCGGTAAATCTGGAGAAGTTACTGCCGGATTCGTCTACCAAGTTTATACGCAATGGCAAAATCGGGGACTGGCGTAATCATATGGGAAATGAGATGTCCGAGCGATTCGATGCTTGGAGCGAGCAACATATTGGGAATTTTGGATTGACTTTTGACTATGAGTGAATGTAATCGGCTCTAAGGTTATAAACGATTACAGTTTAGTTAGTTACTAAAAAATAATGGATCAGCTAACAAAAAAATTGTTAAATATTTTCATAAAAATATATATCCCATAAACAATATATTTTTTTGGGTGATGCGTTCTTTTATTTATTGTCGTTGTCGTGATAAGTGTTCTTATCAACATAAAAAGCTCTTTTGAACTTTAAAACATTGCTTTTTGAGCAAGCTGGTATTTTGAGATTCAATCGTCAGTCGTTTCTAAGCTGGGCTCGTGTTCACTACAAGTTTTTGAAAGCAATTCAGTTTCCTAATATAATTTAAGAAAAAATAACTTACAAAAAGGTATTACCTAATTTGCACAATATCTAATGAAGTGAAAATATTTAACATTATTTCTTATTCTGTTATTTAAAAGTTATTACTTCCTATCAAACTGATTAAATAATCTATTTTTTGTTTTAAAAATGTTTATTTCCATATTTCATTTAATTTTGCTTTCATTTTCAAGATTATTCTCATAGTTTTATGAGTCACGAGACCAACTGTGTCTGGTTTTAAACTTTTTGGAAGATAACCAATTCAATTCAAGTGCTATGTGGTTAAGTGCCTCGACTTTCAGATACCTATTATTTTAATATAGTTAGAAATCAAAAACTTAATTGACAGGACATGGCTATATATAACCGTATAGAGATCCTCTTAAAGAAAATTAATAATAATTTAAAAACTTCTTTCTATCTTTTCAACGAACACAATACAATTTTCTAATCGTCTATTAATGGGTCTAGCAATGATCCCCAGTGAATTCTTCTGGTTTCTTTTTGATTATGTTTAAGCTATTTTCAAAACTAACTCACCCATAATTCATTTTACAGATAACGATGACTAACTACAGCATTTTTTTGCTTCTCTTCTGTGCCATTTCGAGTTCAATTGCCCAAACACCAACTGTAATGAATGAAGCATTTGAAAAACTTGGCATAACTCAGATTAAAGGAACAATAAAAAGACCACCCAATGATTATGTTACTTCTGCGCCCACAGTTAATAGCGAAAATAAATTTAACAATTCATATAACGAAGTTCCAGCTTGCTTATGTGTTCATATGAAGAAATGCGAAACTTCATCAGAGGAGAATTACGGCGATGACCCGAAAAAAATCAAAAGAGGAAATTGTCGTGGAGTATTCGACCTGTGTTGTCCCCCTAGTAGAGTGATCACAAGTGATTCTTCTGAAGATGAGGAATACATTAATAAAGTACCTGAACCAAAAGGATCAAACATTTCAGTTATTTTTGCGCCCAAAGTTGGTAGCGAAAATCAATTTAACAATTCATATAACGAAGTTCCAGCTTGCTTATGTGTTCATATGAAGAAATGCGAAACTTCATCAGATGAGAATTACAGCGATGACCCGAAAAAAATCAAAAGAGGAAATTGTCGTGGAGTATTCGACCTGTGCTGTCCCCCTAGTAGAGTGATCACAAGTGATTCTTCTGAAGATGAGGAATACATTAATAAAGTACCTGAACCAAAAGGATCAAACATTTCAGTTATTATGCCTTTGCCGACAGTTGATAGCAATACAAATCTTAACAAATCATTTGACATTCCTCCAACTTGCGAATGTGTTGAGTATCACAAATGTGAGCCTTCCTCGGACGATAAGAATATCGATGGTTCCTTTAACAAGTTCGGAACATTGAACATTCGAAGGGGATATTGCCCTAATGCTATGCATCTATGTTGTCCTGTAAAACAAGTCCAGAAGGAGACCATAAATCCCAGGCCTAAGGAAAAACTTGGTTGTGGTATTCGGAACATTGGTGGGATAGATTGTACCATTAAGGGTGCCACACAGTTTGAATCCGACATTGCTGAATTTCCCTGGACTGTGGCATTTATGGTAAATGGTAACTATTCCTTTGCTGGATCACTTATTCATCCACAGGTGGTCTTGACTACTCATCGGGCCCAAAATTGGAAAACCTATACGGTTCGTGCTGGTGAATGGAACTTTAAGTCAACTGGTGAGCGACTGAAGTATCAGGAAATAACGGTTAGCAGAATCATCCAGCATCCTGAATACAATTCGATAAACCTGGCCAATGATGTGGCCTTTGTAATACTTGAAAAACCCTTCACATTGGATGATCATATCAACGTGATATGCCTGCCAGAACAAGGAACTACGCAGCCGTCCACTACTCAATGTATTGCCAACGGATGGGGCAAGGATGCCCATGGTGAATCGGGAAAATTTTTGGCCATAATGAAAAAGGTGACCTTGCCGATTGTAGACTCTGGAGATTGTCAGAAACGTTTGCGAAAGACAGAACTTGGATCTTCGTTTACCCTGGATAAATCTCAAATATGTGCGGGTGGGCAGAAAGGAATTGATACCTGCGACGGCGACGGCGGTGGACCTCTTGCCTGCCCACTTGGAAATCTTTCAGATAACCGCTATCAGCTAAATGGCATAGTGTCCTTCGGAGTTGGTTGCAACAATGAATGGCCTGGTGGTTATTCCAATGTGGCATCCTTCCGAGACTGGATTGACCGCCAAATGGATGAGAATAACTTTGATAAATCGTTATATACCCATAAAGCTTAATTTGGCTAAAAGATTTCAGGCAAATCAGTAGCAAAAAAAGAAAAAATTATATCTATATTATATTCTTATATATGTAACTACATTTTATTTTTCTTATATATTGATTTACTTACAATAAATAAATTGTCTTATATTCAAAAAGAAAAAATACTAGTCTTTAACTTTTGTTTTGATTTTCCAATTTACCGTTATTTCAAAATTTGTTTAGTAACGAAGTTTATCATACGTGAATAGTAACATTCTGTTAATCGTTATGGTAATAATTCTGTTAAATCGATAGTTTCTAAATGTGCTATCGAATTTTGCCGGCTTTATTGTTTACGTTTTGCTTCTTGCAATTCTGTTTGTAATTTTATTTACATAAATATAAAATGACGTGCGATGATAAAACTGAGGCGCTTGTTGCCCATATGTGTGACTTGGTGCAGTTCTACATGCTTCCCGAGTTGAAGGAAGATCTGGACAACATTCAACTGGATCCATCGCAGTTCGAGAGCTACCACGCTCTTCTCGTTCAAGATTTGCCCAAACTCTATGATTTGGTTCAGGAATTCCTTCAGAAGGATGGTGATGCAGGGCACGAGGAGGTTAGTTTCCATTAAACTACAATTACACAAATACAACTCAGTTGTCTTTCAGTTAAAAGTCAAACTACTCTTGCTGATTTGCGAATTGACAGCGTCTCCCACAATTTACCAACTTAAGGACGATTCTGGTAATCTCCTAAAGAACGCCAATGAGTTGGCAAGGCAACTATCTTCAAAATGGTGGGAGTCGACGGATGTACAAATGTTAAAATATTACGAGAAAAAACTCCACAGAGATTGCTGGAAGAAACAACTGGGAGCAGTCCATGGTTTTGGCAGGTATATGGAGGTATAGAATAGTATTATATCCGCTTTCATTATTTAATTTGTTGACGAAATCATTACCCCACAGCTTCGTTACGGAGACAAATCCAGAATGCCTACTCAGATGTTGGCCTTCGCCTTATCAGTGGGTCTAAATGTTCGGGAATGCTATGATCCTACCTACAAGCAACTGGGTGTCAAGATCTTCTCGGTGATGTTAAAATTTAGCGTACGTTTTGGCTTCTTCAACATCAAGAATTGAAATTAAAATTTTTGATTCTCAGAATTCCAAAGATATTCAGGAGCTAAATGTGCATAGCGTTATCTATGACCATGCACTGAAAGATGCCTACAATATGGAGTCCATTGAAGCCATTGATTCCGTTTGGAATTGCTTGTACTTATGCTTGGATCACTTTGTAGATCTGGATGCTTTTACAGTGGGTGAATTACAATTTACTCAAGCTATCATAAATAGTTTCTTTTCTATCCTTAGTGGAATCAATGCGACGACATGTTGGATCGCTTGATCCAGAATGTGACCATGGCATCCAACCCGAAAATCTCCACTTGCCTTTTGCAGTTCGTCACAAGATTGGGCTGCTATTTCACCATAAATCGCAGGGATGTGGAAGCGGCTCTGGCCACGGATATTAGTCAACCAGATAAGTTAGAGTTATGTCGAGAAGAGTGTCTATCTCTGAACGCTAGCACTAGCTATCGTTGGGCCAAGGCCATCCTGCAAATGCTCGTCTTGGAGTCGGACAAACTGCTTCAAGGTGTTGAAGTGTGCTATGAACTGCTGGGCCAGATGATGAGATGTTATTTAGTTTGTATCCTGCCCATTCCGCTGCAGGCTCTGCATCCGCATCTGCCAGAATTTTATGCCAAATTTGTGGCTGTGCTAATGGAGTGTTTGGTGGCCCATGAAAGGGATCCTAAAGTTTTAAAGGTATGATAATGTACTGCTTCCAACCTTTTATATAATATTGTATTTTTCAGCTCGTTTTGCGATTCACGGAAATCTTCAGCTTCCAATTGGAAAACGGCTCAACTGCAAAAATGCCCAAAGATTTAGCCGAATTTACCGAGGCTCTCAAAATTATACATCGCAAGATTTTTGAATAAATAACGTTGCCTTTATGTTAATATACTATACACAAATGTTGCCAATATGGTATGTGGAACAAGAGCAATAAGCGCCGGTTTCCATCCAAAAAAGAAACCTTGATAACCATGTTTTCGTATAATCTTTTTGCACAGAAGTTTGTATGGACTGCGGTGGTATTGGGAGGATTCATTCAAAGTTAGGATAGCTAGTCCATCCAGAGGAGTCATAATAAGCGTAATAATACTGCCGGTAAGCGCTGCTATTATGAGATCGCTAAGCCACGGCTCTTTTATTACTTGTGTCCAGGATGTCAGGGCATAGACCTGATCCCTAACGGGATTATAAAGCATTGCCACGGCGGTGCTAGTAAAAGAGTTTATCTTCCAACCATTAAATAAGTATTTCAATCCGCCCTTCATGTACATGCATTTAAGTCCTCGCCAGAAATTCCGATAGCTGATAAGTGTAATATTTAAAAAATTTAAATGTATATAAGTGCATTATTAACTTAAATTTTAGTTTGGGAATTTCCCGTAATTTACTTGCGTCTTTGGAATGATCCACGCGTTAAATCCGCCTGCCTTATGACCGCAAGTTTGGCAAAGGGTGTAGCCAGAAGGCCGCCCCAAAATCCGGTTAGGCCTACGACCGCAGTAGTGTTGTACGGTTTAAACATCAACACATACTTGTTGTCCTTTAGGGTATAGAACATAGTGTATGTGGAGAATGTATGAACAGTACACCTCAAACTGGACGCCACAATCCCGTAGTAAAATCCTGGTAATCCATGCCTGGCCATCAACTGGAACATATTTTTCATACTTATCCGATTAATATGGATTACGTTCGCCTGGATATTCACTCGAATCAGCTCCATCGGATGGGACAGCAGCTGGGCAGTTATTTTAATTAGAAGTCCCACAAAAATGGGCATTTTTGCAAATTGCTCCATTGTAGTCCCAGCGTCGCTATTATTCATTATATGTACATATGTATATACAAATTTATTTATTCAAAAGAAATTTTTACTGTGTCGTACTTTTAAAACTATGACTACTCGCACTCTGCTCGCAGTTTAACGATCTCTAGCTGTGTCTTTTTCGCCTCCAACATAGTGACAGTCCGTTTTAGTTCGGAAATTTCATTCAATTTAACGAAGTATTCAGATTTGGCCACCAGGTATTCTGTCTCCGCCTTAATGAGATCTTTTTGCAGTCGATTGGTATCGGATGGCGTTGCAACTATTTGATCCAGATCTGTCAGGTAGCTCACCAAGGTGGATTCCGGATTCCGCCCACTGCCCTCATCATCATCTAGAATTTTGTCGAGTATATTGGCCGTCGAATACTCAATAGTTGATTGACCCGTTTCGGAGGCGGCTTGGTCTGGCTCCGTCACAGTGGAATCGGACGCTTCTGTCTTTACCCCCAGCTTCTCAGTAAGATCCTCACGGAATTTGGAGCATGATTTCCTACCGTCATTGGAAATACATATGTATGTAATTTTAACAGTCTGTACTTGTAAAAGAGCGGGAATGATTATTATACAAACCTGTGAATAATCAGTCTGTCAATACTGGTGTTCGTCTGGCATTTTCGACAGTGGATGCACAAAGCACGGTACTTTTTTGCCTCCCCATCCTTTGCGTCTTTAAACGCAGGAAGGAAACCCAGCTTTTTCCATGTTGCGTCCTTCATAACGCCACCAACTCGAGTTCGCTTGTTTTTTGCCAAAGACATTTTTTTTTACATTCGCCGTGTGTTAAATTACGTGAATGTACTGTCTTCTGTAGAGTCAACAGATATATCGATAAAACGAAATGCGTTGATATCGATGGTCGCTAATATTTGAATAATAATTATTTCACAACATTTTTATGGTACGCTGAAACGATAAAACATTGAAAATGTATAAGAAAAAAACATTTACCATGGGTAAAAAGTTTTTTCTATTTAATAAAAAAAACAATCTATGTAATAGATTGGATAGGATAATAATATCCTATTCAAGGGAACCCGTGGACAAATACTTTCATACTTGTAAATATATATAATATTTAAAAGAAAATACTTTTTTATAACTCAATATTAATTTATAAACAGAAGGAACTCAGAAACAATAAAATTAAAATTTGGTGTATTATCATTATAAATCGTGATTTAAATTTTTTTATTTTTAAAAAGAAAACAACAATTTGAAGCCCTAAAAGGGCTTAATGAAATATTTAATCATCTATACATGGATATAGTATAAAACTAAATAATATAGTTATCGGAGCTGTAATTATTTTATATTCTATTCCGTTTTTAAATATAATAAATAAAACCAACTGATTTGTTTCAAAATGTGCTCACTATCGATATATCGATAAGTGTCTTCCTGATGCTAGCGTGGATTTTACCTCCATCTGTAGAGAAGCCATTTTTATTTGCGACTTGTATTGTACATTCATATTTATTACTTTTTTTGCATTGAAAATGCCACGAAAAAAATCAGAGAGTTTTTATCGGAAAAATGGGTTTACTGCGAACTACTCGAATGGTAAATACTCGGCCACTTGTCATCATTGCAACAAGGTGCTGCAGAATACGGCGCTATCCCGCCTTTCGTTACATAGGTGAGTGTACAAACATAAATACATATGTACATTACACATTATCTTTACATGCGTCGAGTAATCCATACATATTTAATTGTAGGCAAACTTGTGATTCGAGGCGAAGTAGATGTCCTGTAGTATATCACAAAGTCGAGAAGAAAGATCCGGACGATATTGGCCCAAGGATAAAGGTAAATATATGTTTAACATTTGGATACAACAAATGCATGACGGTAAAAACATCCCACAATAATACGTTTCTATATAAACAATGTATTTTTGTTAAGTTTATTTGAGAGTTTTGATTTCTAATCAAATTTTTCCAAAGATCTTGTAGTAGTTATAAAGAAAAACTGTCTTAAATAATGTTACCTTATATATGTATGTACATAGATACAGAAAATTTCGGGCGCCGACGATGATGGAGGCTTGGACAATCCCAACGAAGGCAAGGAAATCATCGTTAAGGTAGGCAGTTAAGAACGCAATAGCTCTTCAAGAACTAATTAATTATGTCCCCTATAAACAGATACAACAAATTCTAGATGAGGTAAATGGGGGGGAGGCCTCTAAAGAACCGCCAATAATAAAAACGGAGTTTCGCAAATCGAGGAACTCCAAAAACAATGAGGCAGGTGCGCAAAATGTGGAATTTGAGATTTCCAATAGTGAAGAACCAAACGCCGTCTATGTTGAATATTTAGATGAAAGCAAAGAGGTAAATAATATATATTTATTTTATATTTTATCCTAACGCATTTTGAGCAGCATTACATATTGCAGCATAGTGCTGAGGACTCGGGCAATGCGGCGACAATTGTAGAGGCTAGACCGAGAAATAATTTACTTGCCCTAAAAGCTGAGAAGGTTCGAGCTGAGATCAAACAATTCCAAAGCAAGACCACGTTCCTCAAGACTGAAACGGAGAACCTAAAGCTGGAGCGGACGCTGACATTACTTCGAATACAGAAGCTTCGATTGGAAATTGAGGCATTGCGCGCTTAGAATTGATATTAGCTTAAATATTGACAAATTCGAAACTGCTGTATAGCTTTTATACATTTAAAAAGTTCTGTTTTGAATCAATCATCTCTATTTCATTTATAATTTTTGTAAAGTTTACAAAGTGTTCTAGTATCTTTATCATTTAGAAATTTGTAAAGTTTCATACATAATATACTATTTTAAAAATTATTTTACATCTACACTTGGACAAGTATATTTTCTGTGAGTAATTTAAATAAAAACAAAAATGTATTCATTATTAAATTTTCAGAAAGTAATTAGTAAATATACGATAGTTATAACTGCTTGGCAGCCCTATCTATACTCATTCGATAACAATTTAGTACAACCCTGCTCATCACATGATAGCCAGGGAGATATCGGGGAGGAGAAAAGGTTTTTCTTTGCAGTCGTTCGTCATATGATTAAAAGTCCAGCGGAAAACTGAAAATGTTGCGGATTTGCGTGATTTTTTCGCTGTTTATTGCAGCTAGTAAGTAGAACAAACTTATGAAAACAAGAAGAATGCATTTTAAGCAAGCAAAATGCGGATATTCTGTACTCATTGATTCTCGTTTGGGGGTGGTGACAGCTAAAACTCGGGACTTCTAAGTGTACTTCACATGCATGCGCAGGATCTTGGACAATGGAGATTAAAATTTTTTTTTTCTTAATTTACAGTCAACGCCGGTGGCGAATTCACGGTGCTGAATCGCCCCAAGTCAATCAGTTTCAAGGGTAACGATGCACTGGAAAGCCAATACGTGGGTGATGTGCTCTACGCTTCCCTGGGCAATGCCGTCATCGGCGACTCCAACTGGAACGGTCTGACCATCAACGATCCCTTCAACCTGGCCAAGGGCGTCATCGTGGTGCACGTTCAGGGCATCAGTCATGTGACCACCGCCGGCAACGTCAAGTCCTACGAACTGACTGGATCCAGAACGGACGGCTCCCTTAATGCCCTTGCCGCTGAATTGGAGGCTGCCAACGAGCCCGTCTGCGACATCAACTTCGAGGAGTTCGACAATGGCGTAAGTAGTCATCAAGGGGGGAAACCATACGAGAGGTTAAAACATCAAAATCAAAGAATGAAAAAATAGCAAACGCAAGCGTAGTCTATGCATTGTATAACAGAAAGCATTTGTCATCAATTAAAGTATTAATTAGCCCTTATCAATACGAAAACAGGATAAAATATATCATAATCATGTTTATTGGAAGTAATTTTGCTGATATGGTTTCCTTCCCAAAAAAATTTATATGGTGCGTATAATAACCAATACATCCAATAGGTTCAGGCATGGAAATCCTGCTTTGGTGATTTCGACACCCCAGCTGCCAAGCCCACCAAGCACCTGAATCCCTCTCTGCACTCCGCTGACAAGCAGGTGCTGCAAGAAATCGGATTTATTAACGCTGCCGCCGATCATCTGGCTGAGATGGCCAAGCCCTCGAATGTTCTCCTGTTGCGCGTGTCCGTCGATGGAGTAGCCAAGGCTCATGGTGAAAAGTCCGTGGCCGTAGATGAGGCAAATAAGCTGCTGTCCGCCGCCATTAGCCGTCTGCTGGCTGCTTCCCAGAAATCCAGCGACTCGGTTCTGTTTGTCCAGACCACGGAGAAGGATGTTGCAGCGTCGCGAGCTAAGCGTGATGCCATTGGCGCAAGCACCACCAACCCTTTCAACTTGGCCGTCTACTACAACAGCGACTACCCGGTTATCTTTAACATCATTCTCTGGTTCATGGTCGTTTTTGGACTGTCGCTGCTGGCTATCTGCTATGCCATCGCTGCCATGGATCCCGGCAGGGACTCCATCATCTACCGTATGACTTCCACTCGCATCAAGAAGGATAACTAAGCAAACAAGAAGCGAGAGAGGAGTTTGCGTTACGCTTTGTTATTTCGTCCCCTTTTTTTGAGTTTGCAATTGGCCAACTTCTACTTCAATCCTACAGCGGATATTTTGTGTGTGTGTGTGTGCGTACAGCTGTCGCAGTAGTTGGCTTTATTATCTATAAATAAGTATTAACAAACTTATCAGTTTTCGATGCAGTTGCGGCTGAGCAACAATTCCATAGTAATTTGTTACATTTTTCCTGTTTTGTTGTACTTTTTAGGTTTATATATATATATACGAATATGCACAACATACTCGCCCAAGTCAGTCAGTTCTTCAAACGATTCATCATATGTAAATTATCAAAATGTGAAGTGTTAAAAAGTAACGTTAAATATATATAGCCTAAAAAGACAAGCTTGTTGATCTAGTTTTTTTATTGGGGTTTTAAAATATATTTAAAATTGGTATTTCATTTTATTATTGCACTTATAAGAAGTTTAACATGTTAGGCTTATGAAAAATTAAAGCTATAGTTTTTCCAAAATAGTAAAATTGCACAGAAGTGTATTCCTCATAATAAAAATGTTTAACTTTTAAATTTTTTAACGAATTTAAATGCTGAATAAGTTGGTGATTTGGTCCAGCCACCGCCAGTAATTTTTCTTTGGCAAATTTCGCATAGAATTTAACTCGGTGGTTCTTTAAGTGATTACTTATAAAATTCAAAAGATCTAACTTAATTCAGAAACTGGAATATATTTTCAAGCTACGCTCCCCAATGATCTGTGCCATTGTCATAAGGCGAACTACTACCACCACTCCAGGCACAGCATCCACTGCCATTTTGAGTCGCCGAACTCTCCCGCAGCATGGCCTGTAGATGGTTGATGTAGTTAATGGCAATCCTGGAAGACAAAATATAACATTAATATATTCCTCAGAAATATCTAAAACTTTCACCTCACCTCAAGCTCTCGATTTTGGAGTACTTTTTACCATTAGGCTTTGAAATGGGCAGCTTGGAGCGTAGTAAGTCAAAAGCCCGATTCATATCCCGCATTCTGGTTCTTTCTCGATCACAAGCTGTACGTCTGTAGTCCTTCTCCATCTGCAGTGCCTTCTCCCGCCAGGCGGGATTGTGTTCCTTGGATATATCCACCTCCGTGCTGTTGGCGATACTGCCTCCACCATAACTCATATACATGGGAGGTGGCACTAGTTCACTGTGTTTACTGCCATCCAGACCCACTGGAGATCCGGTGGCAACCTGACCACTATGCCACATCGACACTGGCTGTGGAATTACACTGTATGTGGGTGGCAGTAGACCTAAAGTGGTTGGTTCCTTCTCGTAGCCGCCCAACAAGGTTGGTGAATAGGTGTGCGGATGACTTGGCGCATAGGCCAGCAAACCTCCATCGGGTGTTAGGGTATAGTTTAGACTAACTGCCGGACAGTTGGCAGGTTGAGGAGCACCCAGTTCGAGTAGGACGGGCTGTTCGGCAGAATCCGCCTCACCCTCGGATCCAGCGCTTAAATAGGGTCCACCTGTAGAGGCTGGCACGGGTACGAGAACCGGCGGGGGATCCCCGGGAGCGCTGGCCGCGGAGCTCAGCAGTTGATCCGTCATCGCCTAAGCCGCTTTTCGAATGACCGATCGAGAGTTCTGGCTGGACTGTTGCAGGTTTACCTGGACTCGGTAGGTATATTTTCTTGTTTTCTCCTTCTTCTTACTTTTAGTGCATTAGGGACTCTGCCAATTTGTGATGAATGGCTCACCATCGATCCGATTCGAGACGTGACTACTCATCCGGGGTTGATGAGAGCCACATCTCTCACCTAGTTCAAGGGGACAGCACCTCTTTGTACGTGTGTCAACAAGTGATCTATGATGTATAGGAAGGGGGACACAACTTGTCGTCGAGTATCCTTTTGTCACAGGTATCGGTATCGGGGGTCTACAAACAAAGCGGCTTAATTTCTTCGCTATTGTGCGATCGATCCGACTCCGACGGCTGGTGATCGAGGCGCGTGTGGCAGCCTGGAGTTGCGTCCGACTAATGTCGTCTTCCCGCTCTCTCTGGGATCAGCGATCGACAATCGTCGCCACAACTTCAGTTTGAGTTTTTCTTTTTGATCGCTATATACAAACACCCACACTTCAGCCCAGGGCACATAAGAGTGTATTTTCGACGCATGTAAACACAAGTGTTTTGACTTAATTAAAAAAGAAATACATATCCATATTCACCAGTTATGAATATACGTCTATATGGAGGTAATAAGAAAATATAGCCTAGGTAACCCAGCTTAAGGCTTCGCACAATTCTAATTTCAAACTAATTCGTTTTTCTAACTAGCCTTTGCATGAAGTGTGAGCTCTCCTTTGAAAGTTTAAAAGTAGAAAAATAAAATAATTTTAAATTAATAATTTATGTTGATTAAGTCTATTTAATATAGAACTAGACATATGTTGAATGTAAGAGTTACATATATAATTGAGAATATTCTAAACAAAAAGTGAAAAATCTCAAAGTAGACTTTCTAATCGGATTTTTCTGTTATTTTTTAAAAACCTAGAACTCCCCAAACTGAAAACCCTTTATATATAATAAGAATAGAGTGCATCTACTGTGAGCCCAGCCTGCGAAATCCAATTCATGTGCAAGATCTCGGGTTACCTGTAAACACACACAACTCAAAATAGGAAATTACTTACATTTTTGCGAAGCCGAGAGTTATTTTGTTAGCTGGTTTACCAGAGCGGGTCTCTTGCCGGGAATCGGAAATGAATATGCCATATAATTCTCAGTAGAGAAACCTAGAGAGTAGCTAGGTTTTAGGTTGCCTGGGAAATTTACAGACCTTGTTTTATAACTCGCACAAAATGTGGGTCACTCTGGTGGCAATTGCAAATCGAAGCCGTTTATTGTTTTCTGCTTTATAAAAATAAACACGGTGTGTAAAAAATAAAATAAATAGCGAGTACAACGATGCATTAAGTGGGCGCCACTTGGACTCAGAGCCCAGGCAAAGATCATTCCATTATAGCTATTTACATAGGAGTGCCATAGTCGGTTCGGTGCTAAACTAATCTCGCTTAGTTCGATTTAAGCTAATTTCGTATAAACATCTAATAGTATGAATCGATGTCAAGCAAATGCAGGTACTTATGCTCTATTGGACTTCTAACTGCCGAATTTCAGGGGTCGCAGTTCAAAATACTTGTCTAGCACTTCGTCCGTGATAAGTTTTCGGGCTGCCTGATGCTGTTCCACAATAGGTGTGAGGGTCTAAAAAGGAAATACATTAATAATATCGTTGTTTAGATGACATTATCCTTTTATTTTACCTCAACAGCAAGTTTCTTGATCTCGCCCGTAAGCATCTCACCCTTGCTATAAGCCACTCGCACCTCCTCCAACTTGGCATCATCCTCCAAGAAGAATTTAAGAAGCTGATAGGAAACATCCACCTCTGGTACTCCACCCAGCTTACGATGCTCCTCTACAGTTACACGTCCACCGGAGAAGGCGTATTTGTTGATCTTGTTCTTAATCTGCTTGGGCGTATCGGTGAGATAAACAGCCGAGTTTTGATCACTAGCAGACATCTTGGTTTTGGCACCCTGCAGCGCCGGGAAGAAAGTCGAATGGATAAGCGCACACTTCGGGAATCCCAAACGTGGGGCCACATCGCGGGTCATGCGGAAGTATGGATCCTGATCGATGGCGCATGGGATAAGGCAGTGCACCTTCTTGTTGCCGAAGAGGAAGGGAAAGGTGCTGGAGATGGCTGGAGCTGCTTGGGCGGCCGGGAAGCCTATTTTGCCAATGATGTCTGAGTCACCAAATCCAAAGATGCCCTTTACCTGATTGAAGGTGACACATTTTTGGATGCGAATGATGTTCTGGTACATGGCAGGACATTTTCTTTAAAGCAAAATGAATACGTTAAAGCAAGTACTTGATATAATTGTGATCTACACACCCTACAAACTCCAGGTTGTTGAAAATGAATGTCTTATTGACATCGAATCCCATGGCCACAATATCCTTTGCATTCTCACGCGCCAGCTTAATGGCATCTTCCACTTTCAGGTCCTTCCACAAAGTCTTCTCGTCATCAGTCAGTTGGATGACCAGTGGAACATCAAAGGTCTCCTGCAGCCACTTAGTCATAATGAAGGGCACCAAATGGCCAACATGGAGGGATCCAGAGCTAGGTCCTCGACCCGTGTACAAATAGAAGGGTTTACCCTGTTCTCGCAAAGTGAGAATTGTATGGAGATCCCGATGAGAAAAGAACATGCCTCGTTTGATGAAGTGATGTGCGGGCTTTCCCGTGATTTTCTCAAAGCGTGCGATGAGTTCCTCATCGATTTTGCTGGAGCCAAAACGTTCTGCAACGTGTCAAAATTAGGAGATTACATTTTATGTGATTAAGTGACACTTTTGTTAATTTCTGAAAGCTATCTATCTTACTTATCAGCTTGTCGTAATCGACGCCCGCGTCATTACTGCTGGCCACATTCCACGGATCCACGACATCTTCGGCGGGTGGAGTTGCTCCCTCCTGAGCCTGGGCATCTGTACCCGTTTCCACGTGTTCCGCGTCCGGTTTTCCGTTTAGCGTTAGTGCCTCTACGCCTTCCACGACCGTTTCTTTAGTATCCGCCATTTCGTCAGTCTGATTTCTAAGATTTAACAGATAATTTAATACTGGCCAATGAAATTGGGCCCTTCACATGTGAAACGAGGCGCTTGCTAATGGTCCATCGATAGTCCTATCGATTAATATTTATCTCGTGGCCGTTGTTTTAATCTCAAATGGTTGTTTGATTTATTTTAATTAACTATTTAAAGAATACAAATTTAATGTAATTGGCTTAAATTCTTGCTGTTAAAAATACCGATAACACAACTATCGATAGGTTGTGAAATTGGGAAAGTTGAAGAGCTGCTAAAACAGCTGTTTAGTTGCAAATTGTGTGTTAGAAATGCAAGCAGATTAGTTATTGTTTTTCATTGAAAATAAGTGATTTCAAATCCAGATACCATGCCTATTATGTACAATACGGGGGAGTGGTTCAAGGTGCGACCAGACTACTACCGGTGGGTAATCCTAAAATTTCAAGATCCATGTAAACAACTAAGGATACGCCCATTAATCCCATTTGCAGAAAAGTGGAATTGGCTACGCCCGATTGGCCATTGGATCTGGACTTGGAGTACATGTGGGTGGTGGTGGCCCCATATGGAGGGCCATTGGCGGCCACACGCGATCCCACCAAACTGGTGCCGGTTAAGGGAACCGCTAGACCAATGATCCGAATCTTCGACACAACCGGAAGGGAAACGGGTCACATATTGGTAAGTAGTTGGAAAATTTGAGATATATTTTCTAATGAACTTTGTTCCCTTTAGTGGAACCATGGCAAACTGATTTCAATGGGCTGGTCGGACACGGAGGAACTTATCTGTATTCAGGAGAATGCCACCGTCTTTGTCTACGATATGTTCGGCCGGGAAAAAGAGACTTATAGCATTGGCGACGAAGCTAGTGTAACCAAGATAGTGGAGGCCAAGGTGTTTCAGTCCTCCGCTGGCACAGGAGTGGCTGTCATGACCACATCTGGTCGGATATTCCTGAAACAGAACAGCAGCAAGGCTGAACGAAAACTGCCGGATATTCCCAGTAAAACAAATTCCCTAAAATTGAAGTCGTAGCTGAATCTAATACCTCTCTCCTCCACAGATTCCAACATCAACTGTTCCTGCTGGGAAATTGTAACAGAGGGACGAAATAGCTACTGTCTTCTGGGTAGGGAGCGAGAAGTTATCAAGCTGTTTCCAGGAGAAACTGTGGGCACCATTACCTCTAATCTTTTCGAGAGGCCTCACGACCGGATCATTAAGATCTCTGTATCGTACAACCACCAGCATTTGGCTCTATACACCAACACAGGTCTTCTTTGGTTGGGCAGCGTGGATATGCGACAAAAGTATTGCGAATTCGACACTGGACGTAAGGATATGCCCCTTCAAATGGAATGGATCATGAATGCAGATAATAACGAAGCAGATGCAGTAGTCATCTCATATCCATCATACCTTTTAATAGTAAATCGCAATGCTGATCGCAGCGATTTTCCATATGATCCGATCATGTTTCTTGTGGCAGAAATGGATGGTGTACGCATCATTACGCAGAGTTCTCATGAGATTATCCAACGCTTGCCCAAGTGTGTAGAGAATATCTTTGCAGTGAATAGCCAAGAACCAGCTAGTTATCTTTTCGAAGCGCAGAAAAAATTTGAGGAGAAATCGTACAAGTCAGACGAGTACCTCAGCATGTGTCGGAAAAATATCGGACAGGCTGTGACCGAATGCATTGAGGCGGCTTCCTATGAATTTTGTCCAGAGACCCAAAAGAGTTTACTTAGGGTAAGTTACGAATTTTTTTTTTATATTAATACAATCTTCAAAACTTACCTTTGCTAACGTGTTCCTTCTTTTAGACGGCTTACTTTGGCAAAGGCTTTATACGTGGCCACAACCCCGATGAATATATGCGTATTTTACGAATATTGAGGGTTCTTAACACTTTGCGACATGAGAAAATTGCCATACCGATCACCTTTAAACAGTAGGTTTATTTATATTTAAGTCCTTTAATTTATTGGTTTAATCGAAATGTCATTCAAGGTTCTCACATCTAAATACTGAAGTCATACTCAGTCGTTTAGTGTTTCGTAAGCATTATGCCATAGCCATACAAGTAGCAAAGCACTTGAACCTGCCCGAATCTTGGATCTTAGAACACTGGGCATACCACAAAGTCATGAATGATCCCAGTGAGTGTTATTTTCTCTTTATCTTTAAACTAAAGTTTTAACAAATTTGTTCTTTTAGATGATGTTGAAGTGGCTCGTAAAATAACAGAAAAGTTTAAGAATCCCTCAGTGGAGGGCATTTCTTTTTGCAATATTGCTGCAAAGGCCCATCAAGCTGGACGAGATGATCTGGCTATCAAATTGCTCGAGCTGGAGCCGCGTGCTTCTCTTCATGTACCACTGCTGCTCAAGATGCGCAAGTTTGATCGGGCGGTAGGCAGCGCAACGCAGTCCGGAGATACAGAGTTGATCACCCAGGTGCTCTTGGAGATGAAGATGCACATGATGCTGTCTAATTTACATGTAAGATAATTCGGAATGCCTAAAGTTAGTGTATTTGCAAGTTGATTTTATATTTTACTTTTCCAGATGACCATCAGAGATCATCCGCTTGCGCTCAACATGTACAAAAAGATTATGCGGGAATCAAACCGAGCTGGTCTATATGGGATTTATAATACAGAGGACGACCAAAAGGCAATTGCCGAGTATCACTTCGAGAATGCCATCGAAACTGAAGGTCTGGAGTCAAATCTGTCAATGATTGGCAATGCCTATGCCCAGGGACGTTACACTTTAGAAGCGGAGCTGTGCACGGATACCAGTAAATTACTTAAGCTTCAGAAGACGCTTAGCACAAAATACGATGTTAGTCTAAATGGATTATCCATACATGACACTATTCTGGAATTGCTGCAGCTCGGGGAACTAAAAGAGGCAGAGCGGATTAAAAACGATTTCAAAGTGCCCGAGCGGCGATTTTGGTGGCTTCGAATCCTTACTCTTTCCAGTCAACACAAGTGGGATGAGTTGGAGAAGTTTTCCAAGACTAAAAAGAGCCCCATTGGCTACGATCCATTTGTGGAGGTCTGTTTGAAACAGGAAAATGCAAGTGAGGCGAGAAAATACATACCAAAATGTCGGGACAATCGAAGGGCTGTCTGGTATTTGCGGGCAAAGTGAGTATCCTTTTAATAATGATTATTAGTTTTCTCTCTTAATATAGTCTTGTTATCTTTTAAACAGACTATTTAACGAAGCCATTGACTCCGCCTTTGAGCAACGCGATGTCCACAGTCTCTATGAACTGCAAAAGACCCAGGCCATTGTTAACGATGCCAACCTGCTCAGCAAAGTATGTAACTGCATAGCCACACTGGAGGGAAAGTAGTCGTAACATTCCTATATATAAGCTTTAAAAGTGCACATAATAAAAGGGTATTTATTTATGTCTTTTCAACAAACTTTGAGTTTCTTCTAAGCAAAAAGTAAAGTCTTAAAACAATTTAATCGTTATGAATTAAAAAATATGTCAATTTAAGCTTTTAAGAATTCTGTCATTTTTGTAAAAGTTATTTACTCACTTTGATAAATATAGATATATATATTATGATTTACATAATCAACCTGTATTTTTCAGGTTCTATAGAAGTTAGATAAATCTTTTTTGTTGACCTTTCCCTTTACCTTTGTGTTCAGGACATTGCTTTTTCCGAAGTTATTTCCCTAAAGGGACATCCCTCAGCAATCCTGTCACACTGCCCCACTAAAAACCAGCCACTGAGCTGCCGACAGTAACTATAAACCCAGTTAACGCACACACATTTTGGTGTTGTCCTTTGCATAAGTAACTCGGCCTGGCCCCCCGCAATTTGTAGACAATTTCGTTATACGGACCATAAACGCGAATTCCCGATGCTCGACGCCTGTGTAAATAAAATTTATAATCAGTGCCACATCCACCAAGCCAAAAGAAAGCCAAGGAATAAAAAAAAAATGTATTTTTGTGACGACACTTTTCTGCAGGGATCTCCCTTTTTTTTGGGCAGGATAGCCCAACTCTGCAAACACAAAATGGCAAATGTTGACGCCTTTATTGGGTTCAAAATGTGAATTGCGTCATGGTAAATGGAAGGCGGTCCTGGCAGGACTTTTAAGGGCTGCCTGTAAGTAGTTGACATTGCCTCTAAACACGTTTGCCAGCCGCAGAGAGCAGGCAAAATGTGACTTTGCGAGGGAGGAGAACACGGAATTCCAATTAGTCTTCATTTTTAGTAAATTTAACGCATACTTCTCGTTTCTGTTTTATTTTTTTGGTGTAAGCGCAGCCAATTTTCAAAGCCATGACCATATTTTTCCTGGTAAACTTCTATCATTTTGGCCACTATTTATGTCCGATTCGGATGTTCGATTCGCGGGGCTGGTAAGCCGAATTTATTCGCAATTTTCGGCCGTTGTTTAAAAAACGCTTTCGCGTTGACAGTCGGAAACCATTGGTGGTTGGGTTTTTGCCTGCGGTTTTCGGTTGTCCTGCGACATTTCCGTCCTATCCTGGCACCAGATGGCTTTTCGGTTTGCTAAATGTCACTCTCCGACATGACAAACTAAAAGGATATTGCATTTTAAAAAGCCAACATATATATATGCATTTGCCATGAAGGGATTATTCTCAAATTAATATTTCATGGCCGGGGTGATGGGGGAGGCTGACATAATTGAAACACCACTCCAAAGAACATATCAATTTCGCTCCGATAGCCTTCAGCAATGAACAAATATTACTACACTTCCGAATTGAAAGCCAACAAAAGCTATATACTACAAATTGTTTACCAACTACTGTATATATTTGCCAAGTCAGCAGATGACCATTACACCGAAACTGCACCGATATTATAGTCCTTTCCGTGTTATTGATGGCCACATTCCGCGCTTTTTATTTCATTGCATTTTTATATTTTTAATAAACTCGCAAAAGCGACAGAAATTACAAGCGATGTCAGGGCGAATTTCTGGCATCAAGCCAAATTTCGAGACAGAACTAAAAAAAAAACCAAAAAATATAAAAGGGAATAGGAACGAGCGACCAGCAGGAGGATCAAATAAAACCCGGCTGCAAAATATGGCGACTGCAATGGCGGCGGGGCTTTGCCTCAATTTATGTGTCGACTCGCAGGACACTTTAAGAATCCGCTGGCAAGTGGGGAATATTATAAAGGAATAAATCAAGGCATTTTGCCTGCACCGGACACAGGAGGCGGAAAAGGAGGAGTAGGTGGTGGAGTAGGAGGAGGCTATGGTCACGCCTAAGACCTCAGAGACGTTCCTGTCCTGTCCCTGTGCATTATTAATGCCCCGTAAACCCCAAAAACTTTCCCCTCTGTGTGTTGGAAATATCCTGTATAGCTATATATATATATACAGCTCTTCCTTTGACCGTCTCAAGGCCAACACACATTTTGGTAGCTTTTGTTTTCACTGCGTGCTTAAGACCTCTAAAAATATGTCAGCCAGGCGAGAGCAACAATTTATCATACCCAGTGAAATCAAGGCTGAGATTGGTGTCCAGGTTTTGGGTCTTTCACAGATTCAGATTTTCCTTCTGGTCAGTGGCTCATCATCGTCACCATCCACCATCCGTGGTGGCTAAAAAGCCAAACGCCTGGAGCTGTCAAACGCAAATGTGTTGGCCCGATGTTCGGATTAGCATATAACAAGCGAAGGACATATCTGCATGTATCTGATGAATCTGGCCAATCCTCTGGATGTGTTCGTATGTGTCTGTCAGTGCTTGTGTTGTCCACGTGTCCTCTCACAGGACGTCATCTGGGACATCCTTGCCCATTCAATGTTTGTGTTTTCGAAAGAATTTCTTTCATTCAATGTCCTTTCATATACATTTATATATAAAAACAGATGTCGTCGCTCTTATTATGACCGACCATCCTTCGAATGGGATATGATAAAAAAAAGTTATGCCATTTTTTTATTCCAGGTATCGTTCGTATCACACGAAATGATTTGTTTACGTGCGGGACACAAAATAAGAATTTTTATTGCCAGCAATATTGCTGCTGCTATTTGTAGAGATACGTTCACCAGATGTCTTTGGATTATTATTTTTTTAAATTTAAGATCATAAAGAATTGGGTTTAATTTATGGGAAAATACTATTGCTTGATATGGGTTGGTAGTTATAGCAGTTGCTTTTGGAGTAAAAGGGTATTATATAGTATTCCTGTTTTTTGTATGTTACTTAGCCAAAATAGGTCTCTCAGTTGAGAAAAATAGGCTACTTACTTATTGCATGCAGATCTTTTAATATAATATTATAAAACAAATTTGGACCATTATTGTCTTAGTTATGGACATAATACTTTGACTTTGAGGAGAACCAATAACCAATAACCAATTTTCGCATTTTCGATAAGGGGTACCATTATCAAACCTTGCAAAAAATTGTCAATATTTGACATTTTAAACTGTGAATGCAGTTCGACTAGGAATTCAAAAACAAACTCAGCGAGGTATGCCATTCCATATTCGGATCATTATTGGCTAAGTTATGGGAACAATACTGCCGTACTGAGGGAAAATAAGGGTAAACCGAATTTCGCATTTTCGACAAGGGGTACCATCATCAAAATTTGCGAAAAATTGCAAAAATTTGACATTTCAAACTGTGAATGCAGTTCTTCTAGGAATTAGAAAACAAGCCTAACCAGATATGCCATTCCATATTTGGACCATTATTGGCTAAGTAATGCACATACCACTCAGACTTTGAGAAGAAAATCGGGACTAATCAAATTGTGGATTGATGGGCTGACATCATTAAATTTTGTATGTACTTCTTAAGCCTTGAATGAAGATCTAATAAGAAATAGAATAAAATCTCACTGAGGTATAGCTTATTGTCTTTTAAATTCAATAAGAAACAAAACTGTGTTGAAATTGGATAAAAATAATATTGCTTGATTTGAGTCTGTAGCTTCCTAATTATATTATATATTAAGTAAGACTGTAAACTTACAGTCTTAAAATTCTTTTCAAATTCAAAGTTAAACAGCCCAACTTACTAGTAATAAGTTTCAATAAAGTTAAAGCTTTACTTTCAATTCACTATAGATTGAGGTGGCATGAGTGCGACATCTGTTTGTGTGAATATCCTTTCGGCGACATGAAATGCGGGCTGGCTCAAAGGACGAAATCCTGCTGGTGGCCAACTGCAATGAATGCCATAACGTGGCCGTTATCCCTGTTAGCCCTAAGCGCCATAAGCATTTTCTTATGCTCTTATTTATATGCAAAAAAAAAGAGGAATATTTACCCATTGCAACACTTTTGGCCATTTCCGGGCTCCCTCACTTTCTGGGCCAACCCCTCTGGCCTTGACAAGGCCGCAAAACTGAGCCTGCGGCTGAGGCTCTCGCCTCTCACCTTGCCTCTGCTCCTGATCCTGCCCTGTGGTATTGGTTCTGCAGTTGACACAGCTACGACTGGATCTGGTCTGGTTAGTTATTCGCTTTGGACCGCTCTGAGGCTGACCATTTACCGCCCCCACACAGGGCGACACATTTTTTGGCTAATGCAAGTCGGTTTGGCTGAATTTATACGGCATGCTCTGCCAGAATTGTTATTAATAGCCGATGCGATACATCCTGGCTGGTAAACTACCTACCTCCCCTACCATTTTAAAAGCCATGGGGCTTGCGAGGACCTCTCACATTTCTGCATATAAATTTTGATTGCAGCTCATAAAAACAAAGTTATGTTTTGCGGTCGAGATCAGGTGACTCTTTTCAAATATACTAAATTTTAGGAGGTAGTTGGCCGGGTCTAAAAGCGGGGCATATTGAAATGTTAGACATTAAAGCTTGTTTTGCTGGGCAATGCAATGTTTTGGGGAGTTGGGGACCTAAACAGGGCCCACTTGAAGTGGAAAATCTTCCTAATCAGATAATATCTCAGTATAGAAACATGTTTCATGTTTCAGCTTACTACAAATCAAATTAAAATTAAACTAATCCCTGTTAAATCACCTTAAAAGCTTACAAATAAACACAGAAACTACTTAACCCATGAACACCAACTTAGGGCTTTTGCAACTTTTGCGAACGGCTCAATCACCTAACAATTTGAAACAGCAATTGAAAGTTCAAGTGCCGCATTAACCTGAAGTACTGGCAGGTCGCAGGTCACAGCAAATAAATATAGTATATATATGTATATATAAGCACAAGACAAAGGGAATCAATGAAAGGGAAACAAATTGTGTGCAAGGAGGACAAACAAATACGAGTGGCAGCCAAAAGACAACCGGAACATAATGTGCGATAAGGGATGAGGTTGGAGGTTTGGGGAACTGGGGAGTCTGGAATGAGAATGAGAAATCCATAGTCATGGCAAACAGAAAGGCAAATGGCAAAAAGACAAACCCACGTAAACC